TAAAAGTGCGACCAAGCAGATATTCCTCATCTTGGGGTGAAAGAAGGCATATCGGTGTTTGGATAGTGAATAGAAGATTACCCAGGCGGCGTATAGAAGATTGAGCGCAAGCTCAAACAGATAGCTGAGGGCGGGAATCGCATCGTCGTAGAGTCGGGGCCGCGTCGTATTGGTCTTCACGAGAAACTTATCCAGAATGCTAAATATCGTGTCCAAGACAATCAACGCAAATCCGGCCCATTTGATCATGATCTTCTCCTTATGTCGCGGGAATAACCGTATCAGCGTCTGCACCTGCGCCAGCCATAGAAACGTGCTTGATATAACTCTGACCACGCGGATCTCCGTGCCATCGATAACCTCCTCGGTGAGCGCCTCGGCATCGGAATAACCGTAGTTATACTGCCGCTCAGCGACCCGGAACGAGTCCGCAGACGCGATAGTCAACGATACCGCCACCAATATCGCAGCTACTTTCTGTAGCCACGGTCTTCCACCAACGCCAACCACCGAGGAATTGCCGCTATAGGATCCGCTGATCATGCCATGGCGCCCCAAGAAATTGGCGCCACCCCCGGGACCTCCAACATAGAATGTTCGTGGTGTGATGAGTAGTATTATGACGAGGAGATAGCTCACGACGGTTGCGCAGCCGATAGCGTATAACTGCGGTGTAACGGAAGAGTAGAAGGGATCACGGGTATCAAGGAGGGGAGATGGCTGTCGGGCATCGGTTGGTTGACTCGTACATACGGGCTCGAAAACGGCATTTTCTGTGAGGGTTATTGCAAAGGATCGGTTGAGATAGACGTAGCCTAGAAGCATGCGCAACGGACGCGACAGTCAGCTAGAGTTGAGGGACATTTAAGGAGCCTACAGTGACGCAGCGACACCATAAACCAAGTAACTGCACCACACGATTGATTAATGATAAACCACGTACCATCGCTAGGAAGCAGAAAGGGAGTGCAGCCTGGCGAATAAGACTTGGTGGTGGTTGTCGTTGGATTAGCCCATATTTGGCGGGGAGTTAGACGAGCATCATCCCCCATGGTCAGGCAGACTCTTGAAGACGTCTTACGTCGTCGTCGGTTGCGAGGAATTCATAAAAGCCGGGATATCATGCGATAAGACTGCTCTCGATGACCATTAATGGAATCAGATGGAAATCGCCTCAAGCCCCCATAATGGCACTGTTCTGATGAATGTGGTCATTCGCGAGTGGTAGGGTCTCTATACGACGTTAGCAAAGACAAATCTTGAGGCGCAAGAAGTATCGAACCAACACGTGCTATGAGAATCGGTATTCAGGGATAATGAAGCAGGGGCAGGCAAGACAAAATGTCAAACAAGAATGGTGGAAAAGGCTTGTTCGAGAATTGGGTTGCGGAGGAGGTGCGCATAGGTCGTATTCGTCAGGCTTCCTTAAGGAGAAACGAGGCCAAGACTTGGTGCGATCTGATGAACCATCCGCCACCGCGGTCCAGATCTCTTATAGCCATTGAACAACTGCACAGTAAGCCAACATTTAGTCTACAGCCGATGAGCAGATTTCCTCCGAAATGCGAATGATCCCTTTGTGGTGTGATAGATACTTAGCTGGTAATAGCTACGGAGCAATTTGGCCTTCAGATTCTGCACATCTAAGAGTTTCTGGACTGCTGCATCTTAGGTACAATTCGACTCTAAACATCCCATCACTACTCCGTACCTTTAAGAGCATTTGCATCGCAAACTCAGTAACTCCTATATTTATTCTATTACTTGTCGCCTGTCGATGAATCTAGAACTCCTCGTCCTGAGCTTCGTTGAGGGAAAGTGTTTCACAGCAGCCATGTGCATGCATGTGAGTATATTACCCGTGGTGGGTAGAGCACTCATTCAGCTCCCTGATGTCAAAGATGCTGACGGGAATGGGGGTGCATCCTCTTTCTTGAATCTATCCGGCTGTCTACTATATCTTTAACCATGCAGAGTCATCAAAGTTAGAGAACAATGAGAACAAGACGGTTCATACCTGACTGAGTGGTTCCAAGCTACCCCGATGTAATTCCTAATATGGGCTGTCACTCTGTGTCTATTGCCTAGAACAAGCGATATAGAATATTCTCACAGCTGAGTTCTTTCTGTCCTACAGGTGATTGGACGTCTGTAGGGAGTAATTACGGCAAAAGATATGTGTAACCTCGAACCTTAAATTCCGAATCACCTGAATCACCACCATTCAGCTACACGCCGTCTCCTTGGATCAGCTAACCGAAGTGTTTTTGACTCTGAAGCTTCCAGGACAACTTTCTTTGTGAGTTTTTGTCATGAGTTGGCAAGCATGATGGGTTTTAGAACGTTGGGCCACTCGCTAAAGTGTATAAGCGTAGCTTGATATTCGGAATAGAAGGTTTTCTTGCAATCCTACAGGATCGACGATAGAACACTTATCTTCTAAGGGGGCCAAGCATAAGTGTGATTTGAAATGTGGATCTCCTCATATTCCTTGACGTCGATGCGTATATACATTGCCTGATTATTCGGCACGATTTTAGATGCCGCTAAAACACGATCCAACGCCGGAGCCAGGGATACCCCTCGCTCAATGCCCGAAGGTGAAGAACACTAAGATGGAGAGGGATTGAAATAGATAAAACATCAGTAGAACGCCCCGGGAAAAGAAGGTGGCAAGGCAATGAACGTGTTTCGTCGCCCTGCCAGAGGAAAGTTTCTCTCATCCAACCGCACACAAGACCTCAAAAGGAATCTGCTTGACGGGTTGATACACTGTCGATCTCTGGCGACTGGGCCAACATCATCTCGGTGGCTGGCCATAGGACATCTGCAATGGCGCTGCATATGGCGATACCAGTGCCTGCCCCGTGGCCCAAGCAACTCTCTCTCGCTCTTCTTCCCGAGTTCTGAATTCCTTTTCGTCTTGTATGAGCGTGCAGCATGTGCAGCATGTAGCTCGTACACAATCAGACCCAACGTTGCCACTGATTCCGTACGCTTTGCGTGTCCGTGTGTGCTGCACCGTAGCCAGCAGCCCTGTTCCAAATTCAGTATCGAACTTTTTGCTGTCAGCATGATAAGAAACTCACATTGACATCCGCATAGCAAGGCCATTGCCGTACACGAGCCGTTGCATGTCTCGTGGCCTAGCATGTTGGTTGGGTTCTCCTTTTTGCCTTTCATCGAAAGGCGATGCTGCGTCCTCCCGTAGAGTATACAAGGACACAGGAGTCCAAGACAACATGTCCCAATGCTGGAACATTCACATAAACCATGACTCCATGTTCCACCCTTGACGACCTGGTTGGCGTGTGTAATTTGCCCCGGTTGATGATAGGACATTGGCGTAGTTGGATGTGGCGCGCTGGTCATGGAGGGTGGAGGAAAGCGTGGCAGGCGGGGAGAATGCAATGGGTTCTCGTCAGGTGCAACGGATATCTGTCGAGACTCTGAGAACTGACCTGACGCATCCGGGTCCCTCTTGACTGGAAGTGGATCGGGGCCAGCGCTGTACGAGTATGCTGGTGCAACGGTGTCGAACTGCGCTTGTTGTGGCGCATCCTCTGCATAGGGAGCATAGTGCGCAGGGTGTTGCTCAATGGGCGGACTACCGGGGTAGACAGACGCAGCAGACTCATGCTGAAGTTGAGCTTTCTCATTGAACTTTGGTTGAACGTCTTCTGTCGCGGTGACCTGCTGCTGTACCGGACAAGCATTGGCTTTTGTCTCTGACTCTGGCAGCGGTACTTGTCGCTCTATCCTTTGTCGGGAAGGATTCATTTCCAACGGTGTTTCAATGAAAGAGTATCTTTGAGTTCCAGCACCAAAGGAGGTGTCCAATCGTAATTGCCGGTCCATTGTAGTCGTATACTTGCTTCGAGCGACGAACGCCTTTAATCTCCCGTACAGACTGGAAATGCTTATTTCAGCATAAGCAACGGCTTGGCGACAACCGAAGCGCTCTCGATAGGATAAGGTTGCTGTGCGTGCGCTTCGTTCAGCCTGCTGCCGTCAGTTTCATCGCATGCATCAAAATCGTGCAGGCTCTCCTCGCTCCTTGACAGAGGAGGTCAGAAAGAACTGAATATGAGCGCGGGTTCCGAAACCAGACGCAAATGCAATAGTATGATCCAACGACATCAAATCGGGGTGATAGAGGCATTAAGTGTGTGCTCCATGGAGTAACAGGCGCAACTGAGTGGAGAACCAAAAGCGCTCAGATGTACTTCGATCATGCTGCGGGGATGGATGCTTGGTCTCCAAGGGGTTAGAACTCAATGTATCTCGTGCTTTGGGATTATGAGAGCTTGTTGCACCAACTGCTTAGCCTGCAGCAGGCGCCATCACTTCTCACCAGTCACAGCGGTCGTTGGCCAGGCGCCCGTTCGGGACATCCCGTTGGACAGCTTCTCATCACATCACTGCCCTGTCGCTATCACATTGGATAGTGCCAAAAATGCTGTTCTACCAATGATGATGGAAGATTAGGAGCAATCTGGACGTGAGTTCACTACGCCGCAATATTGACAGTTTTGTTGAGGGGAACTGTCTCGTATTTGAGATCTCGGTTCTGTCGGACTTTTATGCAGTGTGAATGTGTGATTCTGCTGCCTGGTTGCAGACAGAATGAGGGCGAAACAGCCAATGAGAGAAAACAGACCAGGATGAGTTCTCGATGTTCTTATTCTTGATAGGAAAAGAGCCAGGGCGTTGTCAATGCTTGAAACACGGGACAAATGTGACAATATATATAAGCAAGGCAACTAGCTCACTCCCTCAACCTCATGTTGCAACAGGCACGCAACTTGACGTTACCATTACTTTTCAGCTGATTGAATACCATCGCTGGATTGGGCTTTGTATTCCTCAATTTCCCTCTTTTTCCTGTTCGATCCCACAATGTACCAATCAATTATCACCAAAACTATAACTTAAGTGCGGTGTTTATCATGGAATTCTATCTATTCGAAGACAGTGGTATTTTCAATCTAGAATATCTATCTTAGGTCAATATTAAAGGGTATGTACTATATTTCCTGGCGGCTGTTATATTAGTACTATACCCTCACGGTCAAGATATCTTGGACACCATGACGGGGTCGCAAGAGCATTCTTCATGAAAAGCTAGAGGGGTAATCCAAAGATCCTTGGGAGCTGATATCAGGGAAATTCCCTTGCATACAAACCGCACCAAAACGGGAGGGGCACCAGCGAGCTTATCGGTCCAAGTAAACTGGTCGCTTAGGTCCTCTCCCAGGCCAGGTATGGGCAACAGACGGAGAGAGAACCATGCCAGCTCTTGGCAGAAGAGACGCCATAGGTCGAATATATTGCGCTGGCCTGAGCGTCTACACTCCGGTTTCTGAGCCAGGTAATGCAATTTTAGCCAGGAAGCACTACGGCCATCAGTAGCATCGCAGTGATTGATCGAACGTAGTATGCTGGCATCAAAGTCTTGGTTACCTTCTGAACAAAGTCTCAAGAGCCTAAATGCATAATTGCAGGCAGAAGAGCTCCAGATAAGGGCCATCGAGTATGATCGGCTGTAGGCTGCTCGGGGCCATATGTGAGTAACGTGACAGGTCACAGGCGATCACTCACGAGGATAAATGAATCATTCTGCATGGTTGTGTTGCTGGGAAATTTTGATGGTATGGGAAGACTTCTACCAGTCTTGAGGAATGGGGGGTTTTTGGGCATGAGGAGCAGCCCAATAATGTACTTCACTAGATGGAGGAGCAAATATTCCCAGGGAATGACCTGAGCGACATCAAATATAATACCTCGATGCTAGGATTTGAATTTTAGACCAAGGATACCCTGTGTCAGAATTGCCAGCATCAGGGGCTTAGGAAAAGAGAATAGAAATGCAGATGTCTGGAAAGGGACAAACTAACGATATGACGCAAGGGAAGAAACAAGATACTTCGATAAAACTTTGTTTTCGTGACTGGTGAGGCTGTGATAATTTATATCCGAAGGTAACGCGAGACATCATCCTCTCATCGACTGTTCCATCGCGACATACCAGTCGGATCGGGAGGATATGAGGAGTGGAGTTTCCGGGGAGGAGGGAGAAAATCCTCGTGGCCAGCAGGTTGATCACGTTGGCTATCTACTGGTTGGCGTTTCAGAGGCTGAACGTCTCCAGCATTCGCAGCTCGGTGAAAACTAGGCAGAGAGCCATAGATTATTGATGCATAAAATGCTTTATACATCTTGGGTTTTAGAAGCGAAACATTCTTCTCGATTCGAGAGGATGAAATGGGCCAGACATTCAGGAAGGTTGTCTCATTTCTGGATTTCAAATCTATAGATAAGAGAGTCTATCAAACGCCAGTTTAGTGGTCAATTATCACCGCCAACTGACAGTGAAGAATGCCGATCTCACCCTCGTAAGGCACGTATCTAGCTGGTAGGTTGTGTGGTGTACGTAAGATAAACAGTGGTCTCACGGGTCATCAATCAAGAGCTATCGGTACCTAGATAGGGGATACGGGAGATAATTGCCTAGCGACATACCTGAATTGAGGGCTGATGCCTACTCAGAGGATTGGCTTTGGAAATCGAGAATGGGATTGCACACTGCTTTCACCTCATAATATTCCTGTCTCTTTTCAGATTCTTTATGCACCCAGTAAACCAGCGTGGAGATCCAGGGATCTAGAAAGACACTGGAGATGCTTATTACCCGAAGAGGAATAGAATGGACAAGCCACAGCTCTTTTTTCCTGGGGAAATCCCCAATCCCAGTCATGATTCTGAACTACGGCTAGAAAGACTCCGTTCTTATTGGCATGTTGGACCTGCGTTAAGAGCATCTAACCGGTCCTTAACTCTATCCTACAAAGCGTGGTTCTTAGCGTCCTGTCTCTCTTAGTTCTTACTGAACCAAGTACTCCGTAGTCAGATATTAGCGACCCATCACTGATTCACTGTGCTCGCCTCTGAAGGTGAGACTTGTATAGAACTCTCTACAGTGTCTGAATTAGATACTAAAGAAAAGGAATACTACAGAAGAGATCAGAAGTAAAGAGAAGACTGGCCCATCATATTCACTTTTATTTGACCTTTTTTGTTATTTATTTATTTATTTGATATTTCTAATACTACGCTACGACGGGGGTAATGATCCGCGTCCTCTTCAACCTTTCGATCCATGCTTTCAAGTATCTAGAATTGAAAGTTCCTTTTGTTGTTTGTCCCGTCATTCTAAGGTACCTTTACTATAATGCTCCTCTGATTAAATCTTCCATCCGCCGCCTCGCCCTTACTGCTACCTACATACCAATAAAACCGACATTAATCACTTCATTCCAGAGTTTGTCCAGTCGAACAACTACCTAGACTCGACTCTAAATCAATAATACCGCATTGATAACGACCTTCTAATTCTTCAGGTTGTCCCATCCGAAGACTCCGTCGTATTTTGCTGGCCTGTAAGATTATTTCTCCCCGGAACGTGGCTTGGTGTTCCTTGATCTTCTCGATGATTTTCCCCTACCGCCTTAGCTTCTTAGTCCTAACTTAGTAAGAAAACTAAAACCCGGTGACGCCAGAGAATAATCTCCCTCCTCCAAGCCTTCGCTTTCCGCCTTTGAATTGAAACACCAACCATAATCTTCCCTTCAACAACGCCCTTTTTTCCCTGCTCGGCTTCTCATTTGATTCCGTGCAGCTACCACACCCCCCCAACCAATGTCCTCCCCATGTCAAGGCCACCATCTGCGTCTGAGAACACCTTGCCTGACACCCTGGTGACACCTGCTGCGTCTGCCCAACATGATTGCTCTGCACGGCCTGAGCTCTCTTCCGGCAAGCAGCGTCGCCACAACGCTCGCGACCAGCAGCTCATGCATCAGGATGTTCAGCAAGCTCCTTCTCCATCCCGCGCTGAATCCCCCACTGCTCATCAATGGTCTAAACCTGCATCTGGCTTTACCCTAAAAAGGGCATTGACTCTTCCCCTGGAGAGGCTCTCCCGCCCTGATCGGTCTCACAGTCCCCAGCTTTCCGAAAGGGATTCCATCTTCGCAACCCACTATCTTCCCTCAGATAACGAAACCAGTAACACACCGCAACTGGGCCCCGTACAAGATGTTGATACTGCCTTGAGGACCGACTTGTCTCCGGGACTCGATAATGCGCCCGCTTCGCCAATTTCCTCTTTGAAAATTCCCTTCCGTCGCCCTTCCGTCGATCGCTCCCCCATGGAAATCGAAATTCGCGGAACTCACCCGTTGCGCTCCTCTACCTACGTTTCGCCATCCCTCCCTGTCCATCCCTCGTCACTACGACCCATTCCTTCAGATGTAGCTTGGGACGCACCTCACAAGGAACCGGACAGGAAACTGAACGCTCCTGTCCGGGAAAGTTCGCACCTTCCCGGAAAAGCTTTCTCGGATGGTATTGGCACTAAACACACCCATTTAGAGGATCCCGTTCCCAATCTCAGTCTGATATCTGCCTCTTTGAGAGACTCGTCCTCGCCATCCCATCACCCTGAATATCCGGAACCAATCCGGGACCGGAATTGCGAGACTAGAGTTGAGCGGAGTGCGAGTCGGACCCGACGTGGCAGGGTTGAGAATTCCATTGAGGCCAATCTGACGAATGCGGAGCCTACCTCTCACGTACGTAGTCGAAAGTCTAGTCATTACCTCGGCTTGTTCAAGGAGAATACGACCTCGCCTGATCGCAAAAGAAGGGAGGATAGAGACGGGAAACACGGGGAGTTTCTGACGCAGGACGAAACGTCGGACGTCACTGTTCTTTCAGAGCCTGAACAGATTCGGGATCGCTTCCAGACACAAGCGGGAGATTTGCTGTCGGAGGACGTTGGTCCTCGAACTTCCAAGAGCTCACCTCAGCTATTACTTTCCGCCGCTCCGTCGATAGGGCCGACCGCATGGCAAGAGAATCGTCCGCATACACTAAGTGATGATGTCTCCAAACGCCAGCCCAAGTGTCTGCCGCGCAGTTTGCTAGAGGAAATTCGATCTTTCCACTTGACTCCGGGAGGTGGCCGCGGTTCCTCATTCTCCAAGAGTATTCCAACCCAGTATGCCGAAGGGGGCAGAGACTATTTTGCGGAGATTCCACCTAGTGATGGGCTCTCGCCACCAGATACAATTCGAGAACAACGTCGGGACTCGGGGCAATTCGACGATGAAGAGGAGGAACAGATCTCGTCTGCTGTATACTTTCCGCATGAGCGTGTCACTGTCTCCGAAGAAGTCGACCAAGTTGAGCCTTTCCTTGAGAATGAGCCAGACGTGGAGCGGTTCGATGAGTCGGCGCCGAAGAGTAGTCTTGCTCTGGTGCCGAAAGTACATACCGTGCCTATTGGGCAGGAAAGCAGTCATGTGGATATATCGCTTCGGTCTAAAAATGAGAGTAGGATTCTCCATGGCGAGCTACAAGACATGCACTCCCCTACACTAGAAGAATATGATCGCAAACCTCTTGGTGCCATTTCAGAACGCGGCGGCGAATACTCTACATGTGAGTCCGAGTTCGCCTCTGCGGATGACAGCAGTGTGTCTGCTCGAGAGGAGGAATCGAGCTTGACCGACGATGCTGACGTGACGCCGACCGCTACTCCAACTCAGCGTGCTCGCTTCCCGCGTCCACGACGGAAGCACAGTTCGACAGCACCTGTAGGGGCGGTTGAATTAAAGCCTTATCGCCATCAAGTGGGTGGTCATACCACGGTTTTCCGTTTCTCGAGACGTGCCGTTTGTAAACAGCTTAACAATCGGGAGAACGAATTCTACGAGCGAATTGAGCGCAGACACCCTGAAATGCTCATGTTTCTTCCCAGGTAAGGCAGGCTCAGCTATAAAGTCTTTAATTGTTTTGGCATTCCCCCTAGCCTGACTTGCTGTACACGCTGACAATGATTCTCTCTTCTATTTAGATATATCGGTGTCCTGAATGTGACCTTTTCAAAGAATTCGAAGCGCCCCAAAGCTTCGTCAGAAAACAATGCTGGACCCACAGATACTGAACACAGCAAGGAGCTCACACAAGATGAAAATGACTCAAGGAAAAGAAGCATTAGCAGGCCTAGCCAGTCGGGAGACGCGGAGCCAGAACGAATCTTCAGTCAAAAGCAAGTGACCGGTGTCTTCCCAAAGGTGATACTCGAGAACAACCGCCATATTATTCCGGCTGATCTGTTCATGCGCTGTCAAAGACCTAGGACAGCTGATTGTGCCGCGTCAGGCAGTCGGCGGTCTTTGAACGGGAATCACGCGTCAGGTGGGAAGCAATCGGTCGGTGGATCTACCGCAGGCAGCATCTCTGCTCCAACCTTGGACAAGCCCATCGCTAGATGGGGTGCCACAACGGTGAACAGGAAGTTGCAGGAGCAGGTTCTTCGAGAGGTCTTCAGCCCTCCCGCCATCCATCATCACCGGCGCCATGCCCGTGGTCACTTGAATCTGCCAAGGACGTCTTCGGACATTGGCCGTCGACGTGCCAATCTGTCTGAGGACCAGAGCGCAAGTCTGCATCGATTCGCATCGGAGCGCGTTGAAGCAACATCCAGTTCTTCGGCCATTGACATTTCGAAGCCCTCCAAGGAAAGCCCGGCTCTGTCATCTTCCGCCTCAACGGCGCTTGACGCAGGCCATGACCGCCTCGAGAAGGTCCGAGCCGAAGAACCACAACCTCGCGCCAGCTCGCTCAGTCGAACCCGGCGGGTCAGAAGACGCCATTCAGGCAGCGGTCTTCAAAGACGGGGAAGCATCAGCTCCAATAAAGGTGTCGGTCAACTCATGTTTTTCGAGGATGATGGCTATGGCGGCGATAAAGAAGATGGTATATTTTCGATGGAACGCGACGCCTCCTTGCTTTCATCTAGCGATCCTCATGTTAACGGCTCCACTTCTGCGCCGTTCCACAAGGATGATATATCTAAAGATGTACCATCTGCACCCTTGGCCGCCCGCGATAGCCCGTCCAAGTCCTTCCGCCTTCAGGCGAAGGATGAGTCTCAAATGATTGTCCCTTCTAATCCCAAGGAGGCTCAAACTAGACAAGACGAAAGGGTACAATTTTTCCTATTGCTGGAGGATCTCACAGCTGGTATGAACAAGCCCTGCGTGTTGGACTTGAAGATGGGGACCCGCCAATACGGCATAGAAGCCAGCGAGAAGAAGCGAAAGTCTCAAAGGCGCAAATGCCAGTCTACCACGTCTCAGCAGCTGGGTGTCCGACTTTGCGGCATGCAGACTTGGAATGTGAGGAAGCAGGAATACACGTTTGAGGACAAGTACTTCGGACGGGATCTCAAGTCTGGGCGTGAATTCCAGGATGCCCTCACACGCTTTCTCTACGACGGCGTTTCTTACAGGAGTGTGGCGAAGAAGATCCCCATCATTCTGGATAAGCTGGCAAAGCTGGAGAATATGATTCGAAAGCTCAAACGTTATCGCTTGTATGCTAGCAGCTTACTGATTCTTTACGATGGCGAGCAAAATCCTACCGAAAAATCTCAAGTCGATGAAACTCACAACGCCGACAAGCGGGCACCTCTTCACCACCGTGCCTCCGAAGACGGGCACAACAATACCGAAGTACATCTAAAGATAGTCGACTTTGCAAATTGCGTCACGGGCGAAGACGAACTTCCTTCAGATGCTCCCTGCCCGCCCCAGCACCCGGATGATATTGACCGTGGGTATCTCCGTGGACTTCGCTCACTTCGAATGTACTTTCAACGCATTCTCAAGGAAGTGACTCAAGATGAATTTGTTGAGCGGGGTGAAGGTGAATCTATCGCTCTCCGATCTCGTGATTCCGGTCGCGAGGAATCAACGGACCGGTTCTGGGACGAGAGCGTGTTGGAGGAGGATCCCGGTGAAGTCAGCTTCTGAGTTCCAACGACCATACCACTAGTCTCTGCCTCAAACATGTCAATTTTGAGCGGGGCAATCTTTAATTTTCTGTTCATCTTTCTCGTTTTCTCATTCCTAATGACTTCTCCGTGCTTGGAGTTAGCGGCTCTGCATTTGATCGGATTTTCAACTCAATGCACCGGAGTATCATGGATATGGCGTCCTTTCTATTTTTGCATGACAGGGTGCTGGGATAACGATGTTCCTGTTTCTGCTATCTTTCTCTTCTTTCCTCCTCGCATACTGGACGCTGTCTAATGACATTATCCGCATGCTATGACACCGTCATGATCTGAATGGGGATACAGGGAGGTCTTAGAAGATCATTGAAGTGACGGATGCTACGATACTTATGATTGATAATGATACCATGCTCGCCTCTTGGGTCTTGTCTATCCGTGCCTGGAGCATCATAGAGGAGGATCATCTGCTCGGGAGCATCTTCTATTCTGATGGCGTGTATGAGATCATAATTTTCCCTTTTCGGCTTCATTTCTTTCCAGTTGTTGTTCTCTTCTCGGACATGTCTTAGTGATTATTATACCCCTCGGGAACCTGTCCAATTCCCTGGGTTACTGTTTTTCTTCTTTTTTTAACAGATTGCAAGCATGGTGCGCATTCGGATTGTTCATGTACATCGATGAATACCAATTTAGATAGCTCAAATCGTGTAAATCCGTAATTTTAACCAAGTACCTTTTGTCTGATGAATCTTGCTTGTACATGACTCAGCATAATCAGCTGATGGCCAGGTATGGTCATGTGCTGCTTGATTTAGGGGACTGTCACGTGCACCGTTGATAATCGGTGTATCTCCTCTGATGACGTGCCCTTGAGACCCTGTCAACAAGTCAACACACGGCTCCTCCATACATGGCATTGGTCAACAGTGTTCAAATAGGGCGCTCGATAATTACCGGCGCTCTCCTTGCATTTAGCTATTGATCCAGTATCACAATAATAACTGCTACTTGACCTCACCGGCCGCAGGAAGAGCCGATTTCCACTATCAGTTCGTCAATTGCTTATCCCAGCTGGCCTGGGGAACTGTCCATCTCGCTGAAACGCCGCTATACAATCTGCTGACGGCAGAGGTATACCTTATCGCGTATATATATTACAGTATAACAACTTCTCAGCCGATTGTGCTGTGTTATTTTGCTACCTCCTGGCACTCCATAGAGCTGCAGTTGATACACAAGCACAATGGCAGGGCCTGATCAACAGTACGAGCCAGCAATCGATAAGCGGGACTTTGATGATCATCGACCCCTACTCCATGACATTGACGCCGGCGTCGATGGGACTGGGGAAGGACGGCCGCGTTCCGATTCGAGACTGTCCGCCATTCGAAATCTCGACGGTGGTAGTGACGGGCTCTTGAACAATGTGGTTGACGAGATCGTCGAGAGAGACCGTCGTAAGATGGCAATGGAAGTGATGCGTGTATGCAGCTTTGTGGTGGGGGTGATCAGTTGGTTGGCCGTCCCCTTTCTCGCAATCCGTAGATGCTATCGTTTGACCGTCGTTGTAAACGTACTGACAGTAAGCGTGGTCATTTAGTCTTGGGGCCGGTAGCATCACTGCTTTTTCGCTGTATGGTCCACTTTTCCTCTCTCGACTCCATTACAGTCAGCTCCAGGTGAACGCCGTTTCGATCGCGGCGGAGATCTCGATGTACCTTCCCGTGCCATTGTTCGGTTACCTCTGCGATCGGTACACGCCCTCTCCGCTGGCGTTGTTATCAGGACTTGTCTTTGGAGGAGGCTACCTGCTGGCTGCCTTTGCGTATAGGAGTGGCCCGCTTCCTGAGGCGGGTGGAGAAGGATGGCCCCCCTGGGTGATGGTTGTGGCATTCGTTGCTATCGGGACGGCTACAAGCTGTATGTACCTGGCTGCGGTGACGACATGCGCGAAGAACTTTGGTCGCGGCAAGCACAAGGGTATCATGCTTGCCGTTCCTATTGCGGGGTTTGGTCTGAGTGGCATGTGGCAGAGCCAGGTAGCCACATACCTGCTATGTGAGCGCCGCGAGGATGGAAGTCGCGGTGACGTCGATGTCTTTCGGTACTTTGTGTTCCTTGCCTTGTTTCTTTTTTGCCTGGGAGTCATTGGCACTTTCGGGTTGAGAATTGTTGACGAGGAGGAGGAGGAGAAGTACATTGATGAGGCTGTTGAGGAGCTCGAGCGCAGCGGTCTCCTGGAGGAAAGCGAGTTCTTCCGGCCTCGAAGCGAAGTGCAGGCGGCTTATGGAACATTTTCCGAGGCTGCTGACTGTGATGGGCCGGACCCGGAGCCATCATTGACCCTCTCTGAAGAAGAACGTGAAGCGGCAAGACTGGAGAAGGAAAGGGAGGAGGAGGAACGGAGGAAGAAGAACTGGCTGTTGAACTTCGAAACGCGACTATTCCTGCAAGATCAGACCATGTGGTGGCTTGCACTTGGCTTCTTCCTGGTCACCGGTCCAGGAGAAGCGTACATCAACAACGTAAGTTTACCTCGTACTATTCCAGTAGACGTTAGACTAATTGATCTCCTAGTTGGGCACAATTATTCAGACACTCACGCCGGAGTTATACCCTCCCAACGCTCCCCCTCCAGCTGGCCTGCCCTCTACACATGTGACCACGATAGCACTCACATCGACCATAGCCCGACTGCTGACCGGATCTCTCTCCGACTTCTTCGCGCCCCCGGCCACTCATCTGTTCTCGGCAGACGTAGAAGCCGGCCGTCGCTCCTCATCATCCGGTTCAACCGCAAAAAAGCCCACACTCTCGCGACTCGCCTTCCTTCTGCCCTCAGCCGTCCTCCTCTCCCTCGGTTATCTCCTCCTCTCATCCCCCTTACCCCTCCAGCATCCCGGTCTCTCACACGTAACAACCGCGCTGGTAGGCCTAGGCTACGGCAGCGCCTTCTCTCTCGTCCCCATCATCATCTCTGTCGTGTGGGGGGTTGAGAACTTCGGCACGAACTGGGGCATCGTGGCCATGGTCCCTGCTGCCGGTGCCGCGATGTGGGGAGTCATCTATTCGCGGGGATACCAGGACGCGACGGACGGCGGGAACGGCTCAGCCGATGGACAGTGCCATGGGTGGCGGTGCTATGGGTTCTGGGCTGTCGGATGCACCCTCAGTGTGTGGGTGGCTGTAGTTGCGTGGATACTTTCCTGGAAGGGTTGGCGAAGAAGAGGTGTTGTTGTTTGATACATTCTTCCATATTTGGCGTTTGAGATATTCCGGATTTGTCTCGGTATAGAGATATAGCATCTTCATGGGTTCCCTTTTTGGCTAAATTTTTTATTATTCGCAGCAAGATAAGTGAGAGACGCATGTAACATATGGCTGGCATCTATTGAGACCTGATCATGATGTATTTGCACATTCCAGCAACCGAGGAATCCTACTCCATACCAAGAATAACAATGCCAATATTCTCACAAGAAGGAAAAACGCCGACCAGAAAGAATAGGAGGGTATTAATGTACAAACCCGGGAACAAGACCAAGTCCAATAAACAGATACAAATCAGACATCCGTAGACGAGGGATCAAGACCCATAAACACCTTGTACAGCCGTCTACTTGCAGCCGGGCCAATGCGCGAGTCCGTCAGGGCACCGTTCTTATTTGCAGATTTCTTCAAATCAAGTTAGCGAAGTTTTGAAATGGGATAGAGATAGAGATAGATAGGGGTTGAACGCATACCTTGACGTCTTCCAGCATGGTCGGCCCGTGCCGGCGCATCCCTCTCACCAAGTCCACGACGGAGGGGTACCTCGCCGCGATACCATACGCCATGGACGCAGTGACGCGATTCACCTCCTGGAGCATTTTGACAAAGGTATCGGCCTTGTCCTCGCCGGGTTTGACCTGTCCCGTATCCATGCAAAATGCCGAGTCGTTGGTGTCCATGCGCTCGCGCTTGTACGGTATGGTCGAGATATGCTCGGTGAAGTTCTTGATCCATTCTGCTGACTCCGCCGCGGCGCTGGTGTGGTGGATGAGGCAGGCGTGTGTGACCTGCAGCTCAAGGAGGGCGTCTTCGATTGTATCGTCGTCGACGGGCGGGGTGGACTCGGCGGTTTTGGAGGGGGGTTTTCTGCGGTGGGTGGAGGACGAAGGATCCTCTGGGTTCTGGTTCTGGTCGAGTTGTCGGCGGACCTGGGCTTGGAAGGCTCTGTTGCGGGAGTTTTGGTTCTTGCGCATCCACGCGGTGAGGCCTTCGATGAGGTAGATTGGTTTGTGGCCCGGGTAGGCTTTCTTGATGCGGGAAATGTGCAGGTCCAGCTCGGTTGTGCCTGTTACCGGGTCTACGGGCGCGATCGCCATGTCGACGAACTCTTGCGCTGTCACGAGGCAGAGGACGTGGTCTTCTTCGCGGATATGGTGGGGACATGGCTCCCAATGGCCTGCGGCTTCGTTGTACCGGGCTGCGACCTTCCGGCGCCATTTAACGATATTCGGGATAGAGCTCGTGAAGAACGTGTGCTCGACTCCCAACCGTTTCATGAGTTCAATGCTCTGATTGCCAACACTTGTTTCCCTAAACGAGGAAGCGAGATCGAGGATCATCTCAGGCGTAGACTCCTTCTTGTCCACCTTGAGCTTATTGACCTCCGCCAAGTCCGCAGCGAGCTGTTTTTCCCGAGCCTTTTCCTCCTTGAGTTTCTTCTGTCTTTCCTTCTCGAGCTGCTTTTCATGTTCCCGCTGCGCCTTTGCGGCTTCTCGCTCTTTGGCCCGCGCTTCTTTCTCCGCGGCGCTCAGCTTGCTAGTCCTCCGTGCTGGCTTGCGAGATTCAGCCACTACCTCGGACAGGTCATCGTCCAGGTCAAGGATATCGCGTTCCTGGGCCTTTTTGGAGGGACCTGCGGTTCTTGATTTGGTCCTGCTCCCGGTGCTACTGGTAGCTTCTGAGCGCTCCTTCAGACCTGCAAGTAGAGTGGCCGTCCGGCTCGAAAAGAGCGTATTTTCATGCCCAGATGGTTTTATTGTTCTTGCCTGTCTCACTAACTCGTCAATATCCGGCATTGCAAGCTGGTCACTGAAGTCTTCGATGTGGTCCTTCCCGCTGGCGACATCTGCAGCACCGTCATCCTCATCCTCATCGTCATCGTCAATCGTGATCGTGTTAGTTTCACCGGGATTTGTTTTATGAATCGTAAGAGGCCTCGCTCCTGGCACAGGAGCAGGCGAAGTGAAAACAATAGGATCCGACTCCTCGTTCCACGCCGGGATCTTCAGCGTTGAGGGTCCATCAGACGGCAAAGCGACGTCATCATCGGAGAACAGAAACAAATTTCTCGTCGACAACTGGGCGTCTGCATCCCTAGGGGATTCAACCTCTTCGCTTATGCGACGTCTCTTGGCCGGTTTATCGATATCATCGTAGGCGAAAAGCGATTCGATATCGTCCGATAACAGAGGCGGACGACCAGAGAGGGGCGGATCGGATGGAAGCGTCGCCACGAATGGCTGACGGGGTTGAGATGCTGGGGGCGGCGGCGTCGAGGAGAGGAGGTTGATAACCTCTGGCATTTTCCTCGTTGGAGAACACCGAGGTTGTGGATTATTTTGATGGCTTATCCGACTTTCGCTGCGACGTTTCTCCAGTTTCTCACGCGTTTTCGCGATTATCCCGCGTTGGCATTGCGCGAAGTCACGTGGTAATAACCATTAATGTGTGTTTTAGAGTACGAGTAAGATTGCTAAATACAAACAAGCAGAGAAGGGGTATTATACAAATCTAAGTCATTTTCACAACCCACACGCCAAGAATAGAAGATACAATGCCCAACACGGCAAAGACGAAAATTAGCTGGTGAAACCCACTGAACGGTCGTCTTTCCTTGTTGAGCATGTCCGCAATCTCCTCCTCGAGCCTGTCACCCATTGCAGTCAACGAGAACTCCTTCTCTACTCTCGCCCTGCTCGCGGCCGACATGCGGTCCAAGTCCTTCTGGTTCATCTTGTAGAGAACCCGGTCCATGACCGCAGTCCAATCCGCGACGACCGTTGCGTCCCGCAGCCAGCCCGTTTCGCCTTCCACGATAGTTTCCAACGGCCCGCCTGTATTCGATGCTAGAACGGGGATCCCGGCGCGCATGGCTTCGACGGGGACAATACCAAAGTGTTCGTTGATGGGAGTGTAGAGAAGCAGTTTTGCCTGCGAGAGGAGTGTATCCCGGAAAGCAGTTGGTATAGAGAGCAAGAAAAGGACCTCGACGGAGTCAGGGATAGACAGGGCGGAGATGACCGTTTTTGAGGTCGCGGTCTGTAATCCCAAACTCGTGGCGAGCTGGTCTAGTTCTCGATGGTATTGGACATTTTCCTGGACCCGATTGTCGTAACCGCCTGTAGAGTACCTCAGTCAATAGCTGCTCTCTCTCCATTAGGAACCAGTTGGGGAGAGGAGGACATACCAGCAACCACCAACCGCGTCCCCTCCGCTTCTCCTCCCCAAGACCATGATACGCACGAATCGCCAACGTCAAATCCTTCTTCCTCTCGAACCGATTCACACTCAGCAAGATCTTCTTACCCCCCACAACGGACCCTCATCAGCTCCAACCGGCGCCCCAGCCTTGGTATCGACGCACGGATAGACAATCCGCACATCCCCCAGCTTCTCCTTCCCAAAGACCTCGCTCACGACCCCGCGCGTGAACTTCGAGTTGGCAACGACCTTATCCGACGCGCTCATCGCCCACCCCTCAAACCAATCAAACGGATACCGATAGAGTGTCTTCACAAGCCGCAGCACCTCCCCGCCCTCATTTCGGCGCGCAAGCAACTGGTCAGGGAAATGGCAGTAGAAGAGGATGCGCTGGTGATTGCGACTGCTGCGCGCCGCGCGCGGGCCCAGCGTTTTCAAGAACGGCACGCAAGCGGGGACCTGGTCGACGATGAAGATGTCGTCTTGTTCTTCAGTTGCCGCAATCTCCCTCAACACCGAGACGGTCAGATGCAACTGCCGCAGAACGGCCATGAGGACGTGTAGGCGGCCGGCGACATGCGCGGGGAAGAGAGAGTTGCCGCGCACGCGCACGTCGAGCGTGCCGTCGCGCGCTTCCTCGAAGCAGTGCGATTTGTCGCGGTGGGAGGTGTAGATGGTGACTTTGTGGCCGCGGGACTGCAGCGCCAGCGCCACGTCGATGATTAGCCGCTCCGCGCCGCCGATTCCCAGGTCTGGGTGGATGATGGTGACATTGGAGGGTTTGAGGCGGGACATCTTCGCCTAGAGGAGTTTGCGTATGTGATTTACCAGCATCTGCTGCGTTGTTGGTTGAGCTGAGCTTGAGCTTGAGCTTGAGCTTAAGCCACGGGGCACGACGTCATGTGATGACGCATCCTGAGCCTCTAGTTATCTACTCCGCATGCCCCTCAAAACAAACATCTCTATTACTCTATCTCTAGGTATCAGAAAAAACATCAATCAAATCCTACCAGTACCATCCCTCTTAACCAAAAACATCCCCTCACAAGCTACGCAAACCCCCTCCCCATCTCTCTCCCCATCTGCCTCAGCAACAAAAATCTCCCCCACCACATAAATCTTCCTCCCCGCCACCCTCCCAACCTCCGCCCTCGCAACCACAACCCCGGAACTCTCACCGGCTTTTTATAATTTACATTCAAATAAACCGTAACCGCCCCCCGCCCACGGTCTAACCCACTCGCCCGGATCAAAGTCCCAGTAACCTGGTCCAGGACTGTAGCCAGGAACCCGCCGTGCGCGATATCTGGCTGCCCTGATACGCCGGCGCCGAGGTGGAGGAGGATGTAGCCTTGTTCTTTTTCTTGCTGTCGCTCCTGCGGGCTTGTGTTTGCTTGGACGGTGGTGGTCTCGCTTGAACTAACATCTGATGTTCTGGTATGAGAATGAGCCGGCTGGTGAATGAAGACGGACTTGAGAATCCCGTTGTTGGACCGGAGGGTCGAGTGGAAGAAAGTGTCTGGGTTGCGCGGGTGCATGACCCTTAGGTCTGGCTGAGAGAGGATCTCGGCGCATTTGGGGATGGTGTTGAAGAAGGAGAGGGTTTCTTCTGTAGACGTAGAGGTAGCTGTCATGGTCTTCCAGCTGGCTTGTCGAATGGTGTTCGGGATAGTGTTGTCTGCTATTAGCCGAGCGGAGCGATGTTGGATCTCGGGAGGCGACGAAGGTCTCGTTGCTAACAGGTGTGAAACCTTCTCTAAGTCAATTATATTAGAAACTATGGATTCAAGATGCGTAGAATTTCCAGGACGTGATCCCTATCTCTCCGGCCTACCGCGGGTTATCTCAATTATGGTGTATACCGAAGAACCGAGGCACGTCCATGCGGAGGTCCAATGTTCTGGACTATGGGGACTATGGGGACTATTTAACAAATCTTGGTTCCTTTCAAACTACTACATTACATATAACAGGGCAAACTACAAACGACCTCCCAACAGCAGCAGTGGGGAAACAAAGGACTAATAGACAGTGCGGAACAAAGGACTATACACAAGTGACCACCGGCCGTACATACTTTATGGCATATGAGCGATAACAAAATATACCGCAATAGGGTTGGAGAAGACGTAATCACAGGTTAGGCAGAAATGTACAGTGTCGATCGACATAGGCAAATTGCCCAGAAGAAGCGTATTTAATGACTCGTAGTGAAATCAGACAGCGGAGGCTGGGGGTTATCTGAAGGGGAAAGAATCAAAATGAAAACAAAAAAGGTATCAACAATCAAGAAGGGGAATCGACATCGAATTCATAGTACACAGGGCGGGCTTTGAACATGGGGAACGTTACGTCCGAGACACTAAAATTGAACGATCCAGAAGAATCAAAAGGGTACGATGGATTAAAAGCAGTTGAGCGTGCTCTTCTTCTTCTTCTTGTTCAGCGCATTCATCCGCTCTTCAAGCTGGGCTCGAGCAGCCTCGGCTTCGCGGCGGGCGTTGCGTTCTTCCTCGACGGCCTGAAGCGAGAGGCGCTGCGAGTTGCGCTCCTTGCGCAGAGCCGTCAACTCCTCCTCCAGCTGCCATGCCTTCTTCTTCCAGGCCTCGCAGTCGGTCTTGACCTTATTGCTCTGCGCTTCAAGGTCGCCCAGAGCTTCTTCCAAAGTGGCAGTGAGTTGCTTCTCGGCGTTGAGGTGCTTCTCTATCGTGCGGATACGGGCCTCTTGGTCTTCGACAATCTGAACGCTGACCAGTTCCTTGCTGGTGTGGCGAGAGCTTGGAGGAGAGACGCTACCGTTGGTGGCAGACTGTATAGTCGGTAGAGGGGGAGAGGAATGGCAGGTGGCGGCGAAGGGAGAGAGGCTGCCGAAGTACTCTTCCGCAGATTCGAGGTCAAAGAGCTAGTGCGGTCATGCGAACCATCCTGGCCGGTACCATTCTTGAGTTGAAGCTAGAGTTCATTAGTCGGGATCCGATTCCAGAATTTATGACAGCAGTGCTTACCTCAAGCTGTTCAATCCGCATGCGATATGTCTCAATCTCTTTCTCGTACGTCGCAATCTTTGCCTTGGCGTCTTCCAAGGCCTGGTCGCGCTCGTGCTGGATGACGGAGAGACGGTTGTGGTGTTGGTCGAAGCTGTTAGTAATCTGCTCCTCGAGTTCCTCCACGAGACGCAGGCTCTTTTCTTTCTCGGCGGTGATCTCCTCGATGAGCGCATCCTTCTTCTTAACTTGCTCTTCCTTACGCTGAAGGGCATCTTCAAGCGTGGCGACGAGGATGGCAAGCTCGTTCACCTTTGCGTCCTTGGCCGCCTCACGCTGGGTAAGCTCTTCCAACTTGTCCGCATTGCTCTCCTTGGCTACGAGCTGCTTGCGAAAATCTTCGTTTGCATCCATCAGCTCGGCGTACTTGTCGGAAAAGTGTTGCTTCTGCGTGAGGATATCTTGGATCTGGTCTGCAAGGTTGTCCGCAGTGACATCGGAATTGAGAAGTTCCGAAACCATCTTCAGAAGTTTCAACAGCTCATTCCGCGATGCCTCAATTTCAGATCTCAAACTCTTCATCGCCTCCCCGTGTTCGACACTCTTCTCTGCGATCCGCGAGTCATACTCAGCCTGCGCCGCAGCCTTAGCGCGCTCCTCGAGCTCCGCCAATTCATTCTTATGTGATTCCTGCAGAGACTCGAGGTCCTTCTTGTGAGATTCAGCAGTCGACTTGTGCATCTCAATTTCTTTCTCGAGTTCAGACACACGAGACTGGAATCCTTCAACCTCACCGCTGGCACTGTCCTTGGTCGCGAGAAGATCCGATAGCTGCTCCTGCGCTGCCTTGTGCGATTGCTCGAGAGAAGCAATCTTCTCGAGATGGGCCGCGGCGGTAGCCTCGTGCTCTTCGATCTTCTGCTTCAAACTCTCAACCAGCTCTTGCTGCTGTGATCTCTCGGCCTCCAGCTCTCTGGCAGCAGCCTCCTTCGCAGCAGATGTCTCATCGACGGCAGCACGCTCTGAGCGCATGGCATCTGCAGTTGCCAGGGCCTTGTCCAGGTCGGCCAAGGTGGCACTGAGTTGCTGCTCGGAAGCCTGCAAGGATTTGACGGCGTTCTCATGCTTGCTCTTCCACTCCACCAATTCACCTTGAAGATCGTCAATCTTCTTGTCTTGCTCTTCCGCGTGCGCATCCTGAGCCTTGGCAGCTGCCTCCTGAGTCTTCAGAAGATCCTTCAATTCCGCGATCTCGGCGAGCAGCTTCTTCTCGCGTGACTCATGCGCCTCCCTGAGCTCGTTGATCAGGTTCTCCTGCTGGACTACCTGATCCCGCAACTGCGAGACTAGGCCCATGTCCACAGAAGGTGTACCCCTTGCAAGCTGGACCGCTCACGGGTGAGGCCAGAGATGATGGTCGCCTTCATCTCCATTTCTTTCTTCACGCTCTGGTTTTCCGCCTCCAAGGACTGGATGCGTTCTATGCGCGAGTGCAGCTCATGCATCGCCGCGTCAAGATGAACCTCGAAGTTCTGCATTGTGTCGGGCTGGCCTTCGAACTTTTCTACCGCGATGTTCTTCAGGGCAGCAAGCGAGCGATGCGCACGATCCACCGTCGACATGAGGCTCTGGCTGCTCTTCCTCCGGATGACATTCGACTTGAAGCCCGGGGTTGTCGGTGGGGAGGCAGATTTGGATTTCTGAAGCTCCGTTTTGAGCGTCTCCACCAGAGCAAGGGCACCTTCATGCTCGGCCTGCAGCTCGGCATACTTTTGGGTCATAAGGTGAACACCTTCCTGGTGCTCGGAAAGTAGCTGACGCATCTGCTCCATTTCGAGCGAGTTCGTCTCACTGTGGGACGCCTGCGAGTCCACGGGAATTTCTGCGGCGGGCTCAGGATGCCCGTTAGTAGAGGGTTCTTGCGAAGCAGCAGGCTCCCCGACCGAGGATAACTCCGAGGAGAGTGATTGCGAGAACGAGTGTTGTTTTCCACTCTTCGAGTCGGGGCCTTCGCATCCTCTAAAAAAGACACTGGTCGAGAGGCAGTGACTGGGGAAATGAGCCCCTGGACGGCAGAAGCCGGATGGCGCGCTTCGTCGGCAGCGTCCTGTTTCAGTTTGGCTAAAGCCCTGAGTACCTCTTCATATTTGGCCTCCAACAGTTCATATTGGTTCACCGTGCTCTCGTGCTGCAGGCGCAGGTCCAAGAGCTCTTGGGAGACGGTCTCAAGCTTATCAGCAACGATCTTCGACTCGGTAAGGCTAGGAGTCTGGGCTCGAGGCTCTGCATTGGGATCGGCCTCTAAGCGGCTTGTTACCCTTTCCAAAACCTCCAAGTCAGAGCCATCAACGTGGGCAGCTGTCGCCGCTTCGACATTTGCTTCTTCTTCGATGTCTGGGACGGTTTCCGCGAGATCCTCGTCTGATTCAGGAATCGCCGTTTCGGCGGCTTCGGTCAAAACTTCCAGAGTGGTGGCTCTCTGACGGGAATTGCGGGCGCTCGTCACAGCAGCGGGAGACTCCATTTCTTCCTGGATGTCATCCTGACTGGCGCCGTTCTGGTGGACATGGTCCAACTCATAGAGAAGACTATCGAGTTTGCCGAGACTCCGCTGACGCTCAATTACATGTTCCAAGCGCTCAACCTCTCGCTGCATGAGCTCCATGTCTTGATCGGCTTCGGCGAGACGCTCCTCCAGTGTCGAAATGTAATCTTCGCATCCCGCCTCGCTTTCGCGCGCACGGCTGAGTTCTTTGCGCAGCTCCGCAATGATAGCCGTGTATTTCTCCTCGCCCGAAGACTGGCCATCGAGCCGAGACTCTAACTCGTGCATATAGGACTCGGTGCTGGCCTCACGGTCCATAAGTTTCTGGATGCGCGCTTGCAGTTGGGCATTGACAGTCTCGACATAGGCGCATTTGGTCTCCCGTTCCAGAAGAGTGCTCTCAGTCACCGCCAAGGAGGATCGTGTGTTGGATAAGGAGGATTCAAGGCTTTGAATCGTTTTCTCATACTCGAGAACGACCTGTTCGACGGATTGGGCAAAAGAGTGAGACCGCTTCAGTCGCTCAACAGAGCTCTTGCCAACGGCCGAGGCAACATCATCTGCTTCTCCATTGGTGGAGTGCTCCGAATCGTGAGCGAGTTCGGAAATGAGTTTGGCATGTCGCTGGCTCAGCGCGTTATAACTTTCTTGTACATCAAGCAATTGGTTCTGAAGCTCCTTCTCCCTCTCATTTTGACGCTCCGCCCTCTCTTGCGGTCCAGCAGCTCGTCGGTCATTGTCCTCGGCGATACGGATCTGCTGTCTCAGGAAAGCGACTTCGGCCTTGAGCCTCTCAATCACTGCGTGCTTGTCGCTTTCGTCAGCAATATGCTGGATTTGCGGCTTGCTCTGGATAGCCCTCGCCCTCTGTGCGTATTGCACAGTATTCAGAGTTTCACTGAGGTGGAATTCCGCAGGCGTGACACAAGCAACCATATATGTATAAGCATTGCCGCCGAGAGAATCTTGGAGTAGGCGGGTGAGCTTCGAATCTCGGTAGGAGACATGAGCGCCCGATTGACGAGAAGAAAGCTGAGAGATGACCTTGCCCAGGGCAGCTAGACCAGCGTTGATGGAGATTCCCTCTCTTGCGCGTTCCCCGGAAGCACCAGTGTTCTTCAGCCGCTCGCTTCCTGCCAGATCGACAAAGTGCAGTTTGCTATCGACCGTGACGGAAGCATCCGAGCCGGAAAGTACCTCGACCGGCATGGACATCCGTTTCTCTTTAGGAGATGTAATTGAGCTCGCTGATTTACGTTGGACAAGATTGAGACTGAAGACTGCGTGGGATCGGGAGGATTTTGCGTTGATCGCTGTGGCGTCCGTCTGGCGAATCGAGGAACCGAAGCTCAGGGCGTTCATCAAATCCTCGAATGAATTGATATTGACTTGGTGCAGGCCCGTCAGGATGATGCGACCTTTGGCATCCTCGCGGATCGCTACCGAGCCGCGATCACTCATAGGTGTCGATTCAGGGAGGAGAAGATCTCGCAGCTGCTCGTTGTAGATCTGCGTGGTATGTCAGCGAACAATTTCGACTGCAAAATACTCGAAGTGCCTTAAGGTGCGTCGTACTTCCACATAGCTGGCTTTCAATTGCCAGTTCTTTTCAGCTGTTGCGCGCCCGAAGCTCGAAGTAGAGCTGATCGAGTATCGAGCTGGTGTGCGAAGTCCAGTCGAACTGTTGCGATTATGCTTAGCCGGGCCGTCCAGTTTCTCAAATAGGAGTTGGGCTGCACGAGGGATGATTCCTAGCAATAGTATTAGCTGGAAGTCTGAATGACCTAAATGTGTCGCAATCCAGACGAACCCATTGACTGTGTATCGTGTTGCTCGCTGGGGCCAGAGGTTCCCATGGTGTACGATTTGCCAGCACCCGACTGGCCGTAGGCCAAAATCGAAACATTGTAGCCTTGGAGAAACGAGCTCACGCTGTCGCTAAGGTATTCCCAGACGCCATTCTGATCCGTCGTTTCGGGAAAGACCCGATCAAACACGAACAACTTCCGACCTTGTGGGATATCGACCGCAAGACTCGTCGGTGACGTGACATGAACCATAGATCGTTGGAAACGTTGCGGAATCAATTCGTACCCGGGATCGGTGGGTTTCAGCGGGGGTCGTACACGGACCGCTGCAATCACATCAGCTTGCTGGTTCAGATGTATGACCTCCCTTGTCCCCGCGACTCTTCCATGGTCGGGGGCCGTTCTCAGGACACATACCGACTTTGACCGCTGTTTTCCCATCCTCGTCGGACGCCCGACTTCCTCCACCGACTTTACTGCTCATACTCAGACGGCTGTTACTCCGCGGGGTCCGCATGATGCCACTGAAAGGCCGCTGCGGCGTAGCCGTGGTGGGCGAACCCGGCGGCGAGACCGTCATGTTGTTTTACTGAGGTGGCCTGCAATGCGCGATAGACGTCAGGGAAAAGAAGGATCGACTCGAACTCGAACACGATGGATGAGTTGTCAGAAAGCGGACAGAGAGGGTGTCATGAGTCGTAATCGTGGAGTGGTCAAATGATGATTCGTTGCGTGTTGTTTTTGTCGTTTCGGCGCTGAGTTGGCCGGGCAGCCTTTTCGTCTGAAATGCGCGCGATTTGTCGTCCTGCGGCAATCGGCGAGCCTGACGATAAATTGATGATTCCCTATGTGCAGTGAAAGCGGAAGGAGGGAATTGTGATGAGTTCTGTGAATAATGAGAGATAGATAAGCATTAGTTTTTGGATGGAAACCCCTGAAGGATTATGGCCGCCAATAATTCAATTATAGAGTTTGGGGTGTCGGGGAATGCGCACGCCGCGGAGAGACACAGAAACCATACATACACAAAAACTTGAGACAGGCCCAAGGAGTGAGGATGGCGCAGAATGAGGATAAGAATGAGCGAAAAGAAAAAGGTAACCTCCCTACAGAGCAAGAAAGGAGAGGAAAGGAAGGGAGTGAAGGAGGGAAAAGAAGAAGCCTCCGTGCCAGGTGCGGGAATAGCCAACAGTAAGTACCTAGGTAGTCGCTGGCTAGTTGCTAGACTACCTAGCGATAATCCAATGCTATTATTATTATTATGGTGAGATGAGGTACATACTGAACTCCTGAAAAGCGCCGGCAGAGGACGCACTGGATGGACTAAACAACCTCTTTAGACGGTTAGCCAACCTACTAAGTAGGTGCTAATGCCTATTCAAGTACGTAGAGCTGTAATCGTGGACTGAGACTGAGACGAGTCAAGACCTTTAAGCTGGAGGTCTGGAGAGGTTTGCAGCGAACGAGAAAGCGGGCCTGCGCTGTTTGACTTGAGGCGGCCGAACTTTACCAGGGTGGGTTAGAGGGTGTATCAATGTGACGACTCCCGTCTCAATCTAACACCAGGGTGAGATTGGCAGCCACATCATTATTAACAAGGGACATCATTCAGGTCAATCTTTATCAATTACATGGAGATCTCAAATTGTGTCTATAATTATTATCGAATTCATTGAAGAAGAGAAGATATCACGAAGGGGTGGTGGACACTCATCTAAAAATACATCGGTTGTACTGTACCTTGATACCCCATCTAACTTACGACCACAGGATGCCAGGGGAAAACCAGCTGGGGACTGGACCAGATTGGCCTAGACTGGCATAGAGAACAACTGGGTGGGGAAGGATTCACTTTTTTAATATGAACCGTCTGAATGATCAACTGTCTCAGACAGGAGTCTACTACTAAGCCTACTGTGCTCAACTAGACGCCTTGTCCGGTGCGTTCCTGGATCGGTTCGACAACATTCCCTTACTACTGTCAACCACGGCTTCCCACATGGCCCGGAGTGAGGTTCCACGGTTTGCTGTAGTGGAGTAACGGTGGACACTCGATAAATTAATCCAGGAACCAGAAGCTTTGCCTTGGTGGCTTGGTGGAATCGGATATCCGCATGTTTCTCTGCCGGGGGATGCAATAATTGTCGAGTCGTGATAAATGCATAACGTTCGTTTCAACATTATGGCTGGCTGACCTGGCTCTTGGAACGACCTCGACAAACGTGATGGTACCCGATAGTCGAGGACCGTTCGTTCGATTATTGATGTAATCAAGCAGGAATAGAACCCATGACCCATGTACTCTGTATGTAGAGGGAGTATCTAGTATGGTGGCCGTTAGCCACGGACCACATGTCATTACATGTTCCTGAATCTGTCGCTGCGAAACGAGAAGTTAAATCAGATGGTGAAACGATCGGTGATTCAAGTGCTGTCAAGGGGGACGATCTTAAAGGCTAGGTCCTGCCATTTGGCCGAGAGTCAGGGACCGACGATGAGAGCTGTGTTCACTGTTCAAAAAGTGATATCAATTTATCAAATCAACCTTAGTAGAGATCCGACGGCTTAATTCTACTCGACTTTGCAAGCCTCTTCCTCTTTCCGCTGACAAACGATCGTAGATCTCGCGACAAACCCTCCTCTTGCTCAAAACTTCCAGCACAAAGAAATCCTTATGTCAGCGATTCGCTCATAAACTCTCATGTGAGTTGCACGAAGCAAGAAAGAAAACTAGCAGTGTGTATACTCGAATTTATCCAAAATGACAGCTGACTAGAATGTCGGTTTCCCCCGACCTGAACTTTACAAAGCACCTTAAATTTCGATCGCCATGTCACATCTGCTAACAAACGGGCTACAGGACAGAAAGGGAAACCAAATTGGTCATCACATACTTACCTAGGAAGCTGAGATCTGCCACGAGGTTGATATCTTAGTCTCTTAGATGAGTGAAAGGATTCATTCATTAATATTATGATCAACCGACATAGCTACATAATCATACCGAATGAAATGATTGGATATTTCTCTCATCCAGGGGTGCGTCAGTCTAGACTAGGTCTTCTAATCCATAATTAGGAAGTCGAACACCATAGTCCTAAATACATATCAGAGACTCCCCAAATCCGTCCAGTTTCATCGCCAAAAGTCAAATCCTTGCAACATCCACAGACGAGCTGTTGGACCGTGCTCTTAAGCTTCTCCCACTCAAAAAGCTCATCGAATTCTAAATACGGCTCGTCAAACAGCCAGATAGAGTCATAAGCAAGGGGCTCATTGAGATATGCCACAGCCCTCGGATCCCGGCTCGCAATGCAAATAGATATCTGACAGTGATAATATTGGCTCTGACAGCCCTGCAAGTCGGTAAGATCCCTGTCGGATGCAAGGACTCGATACTGATTAGATTTACGGGTGAGTTGTTACACTAGATGAATTATTGATTTTGGTTTGGACGCGGTCATTCTCTTCGAGAGGTCCCTGGATTAACATGACTATCCCACATATTTCTGAGTAAATCCACGGTATTGTGCTCAGCGCTGAATGATAACGTATCAGAAAAAGCAAGGAAGGTACGTAGTAGACTAATCAAACATCTGTCGCTGGAATTAGGTTTCTGCAGTTTGCTTTTCTCCGACGCAAGGGGGCTTGCGCACAAGGATGTGATCTGTCTGCTTTATTTGGAAACGATATATGACTATGATACGAAATTGTTTTCCGAAGCCCTGCCTTCGTGGGAAGGGTGTCCTACCTGATACTGGAAAGAATAATGGCTCCAGCATTATGCTAGGGAGTGCTATATATGCATATATATAGCATTGCCTTCAAGGCTTTTGCTGCGAGAGCCTTGTACGACGCAATAAATCCTCCCGACTACAACTCATGTCCCTTGGAAATAGACAATGGTCCCTTCTTAACCATAATGGTAAGAACCTCGTAAAGAACATCCGCGGCGGCCCTAAGACACGGTCAACCACGATTTCAAAATACAGAGTCAGGGAACATACATGGTAGAAAGCTCTGCGTTCGTATCATAAGCAGGAGCAACCTCGACGATATCCGCACCGATGAAGTTGAGGCCGTCGAGGCCACGGATGATAGTGCGCAGTTCACGGGTCGACCATCCTCCGGTCTCGGGGTACCGGTTGCAGGTGCAACTGGGCGTTGTCAGTAAAGGATGCTTGAAATTGTGACAGAAACTTACAAGCAGGGTCCAGAGTATCGATATCAATGGAGAGGTAGACAGGGTTCTGGGTGCCGACTCGGTCTCTGATCTTCTTGATGATTCCTTCGGTTCCTGCTAGCTTGTTAGCATTTTGCTCGAAAGCGCCAGTTACTCCGTTGGGGGCCTACCGATAGTGTCAATTTCACGCGCCTCGACGATCTCGAAGCCGCAATACCCATCGTTCTCATAGTCAGACGGCCCAGACAGAGTCGTCCTGATGCCAGCATGAATGTTGGTGTCGTTCTTCAGGAGACCTTCCATGGCAGCATGGTAGAAGTAGGTTCCGTGATTGATAGCAGCAACCTGACTAGGCGAACCGCCAAACACCTTGGGCCTCCACGTGTCCCTGAGACCTGTCAATCCAGAACTCTGTCATTCGTCATAGACATAGACATAAACCTACAGATGGCTGTCAAAATGGATCACAGTTACGGGCCCGTAAGCCTTGTTGATACTGCGCAGCAACGGCAGTGTGATGGTATGATCACCACCCAGGGTGATGAGGCGCGGCAGAGTCTTTCCGGCCCTGGACAATCCTTCAGCGTCCGCATTGGTGAAAGGCTTGCGCATTAACAGGCTGTTGTGTCCTTCTTCGATCTGCTGGATGGCCCAAGCATTGTCGTACCTGTCCGCCAGTTAGAAGGCCATGATTTGTTGAGAGATAGGAAACATACGATGTCACAGGAATATCACCACAGTCCAAAACCTTCAACTCACTAACGAATGGATTCGCCTCCAATGGTACATTGTAGCCACCGCTAAATCCCAATTTTACGTGAGCCTTGCCAAAACCATTGTAAGTATGGGTAGTCGTTATCAACGTACTAGAGATTAAGACGGCGAGAACCTTGTCTGATGCCACTCGGCCCGAATCTTGCACCAGGTCTGTATGAAGTGCCGGTATCAAAGGGAGCGCCTGAACTGTGAGCACTCTACAACAGAGCTAGTAGACAGACTCAAACTCACCAATAAAGGCGATATCATATTTCTCTGCCTCGCTGGAGAGACAAGGGAAGTATGGCAGACGACCGAACGTCGAGATGCCAGAGAAGACCGAGTCTGCCTGAGTACCACCATCACCTGGAATATTATTGTACCACAGACTTTGGTGCGGACCAGCGATGGTCTTTTGCCGATGATCGCTATGCGCAGACGCAATGGCGGAAAGTGCCAAAAGACTCAGCGTGGAAGTGATCATGTTGCAGTACTAGTGTGATTGTATTGAGAACCTTGTGAATGAGATAGATACCATAGGCTACGAAGGAGGATGGATATATATATGACCACACAGTCCCATGCAAATTTTCTCTCCATCCGTGTATGATCTCGCAGAAAGTTGGAGTCTGCGGAGTTGAAGCTCGACGTATGAGCCCTCCGATTTCGCACAGGGTGACCATCTTGCAGTCATTGGAGGACATTCTAACGAGGTATCATCTCTCCAGACAACTTCCTATATCGAACAAACAAAGTCAATTCGAGCTTCAGATGTCTGTCTCCAACGGAATTGGGCTCCAAGAATTCAAGGCTCAGTGGGCCAGACTCGCAACAGCTGACGGCTTGTACTTCTGCACTTGATCAAATCCAGGTAATAGCAGGAGAACTAGTCCTCAATTAGGCATCTCTATCTGCAGAAACGCATTTAGCCAGCAGATATGCCTATGGGGCAGGAATGCAGCAGTGACATCAGGACCGTTGAAGCTTCGCTTGGGTGGGTACTAGGAAACGCAATATGCAATCTAGACATGTTAATTTCAGATCCCTTCCCAGAAAGGAAGGCCGGAAGAGGATGAAGACAAGGTTCCAGAAATATCAACGAAGCAAAAGATGAATTGATAGCTGACTTCTTATCAGTTGTTGCTGGTGGCTTATCCCGACGCTATCTTGACGTGTGGGGTGTCATTGATAACACTCAACCCTATTTCAACAGCCCTCTTAGATTCTTCTGTTGGAGAAAGTTAGCTACATGCTGAATTGACATTCTAGATGGACACTCTTTGATCCCGAGGAAGCAAGGCTTATCTGCAGCCACTGGTCTAAATATGCTTCTCAATCGTCCTTCCTTTTTTGGACCATCCAAAGCGAGCAACTCTCTTGCCATAGGTGATATGGACTCGTTTTCCAATATGACCAGAAGAGCGAGATAGTGTTAGCAGCAGCGTGCTCTTATCGTCTCATTCTTACCAATAAGTGTCTGCCGACAAGTGGCGTGAAGGTTTTTGATCTATAGCTTCAGATAATGGCAGAGTGTCGACGGCACACTGGTACTTTTGACCTGCCTCAGGTATCTATGTACCTCTCACTGTAGGTGGTGAGAAGCAGACAGTGCCCTCGCATTTGCTTCGCCTCTTGACTATTTACTTTGTTTTGTCTATTCCTCCAGTAGCAACTACTGCATCTATGCACCCGTCTCAAGACGCTCATGCACATCCATCCGCCGAAAGGCATTTTCCACCTCCGTATCCCAATTGCTAAAAGCCACAACCCACCATTCCACCACCCCGACAATATAAAGCGCAATGCACTGTCCCACCCATAATCCTTTCAGACCCCACCCATGAAACGCAAGCCAGATCCCCAGAGGCAACGCCCCGCAGTAATAGCTGACTAGGTTCACCATAGCGCCCACATGCTGCCGGCCCATCCCTCGCAGACTGCCCCACAGCTCCCATTCAAACCATCCGCAATCTGGAACAGAGCAACATACGGCAACACCTCAGCCGTCAGCCGCACGACCCCTTCGTCATCGTTAAAAATCCTCGCAAAGTCGTTCCTCGTACCCATAAGCACAGCCAATACCACCCCACCAAGCACCATACTCAACCACGCAGCCGTATTCGCAGCACGAGCAGCACCACCCGCATCCCTAGCTCCGAGGAGATTGCCGACGCGCGCGGATGCGGCAACGCCCACCCCAAACGGGATGGTATTGAGGACCTGGTCTGCGGTCATGATCACGCTCTGTGCAGCTAGCGGGATAGTCCCAGGCGGCCGGCGGCGAGGGCGACGATCTCAAATGCCCACCACTCCGTGCCGACGTGGATGACGCCCAGGAAGGCGAGACGGGCGAATGTGCCGAGGTTGTTGAAGGCTTCTCGCGACCAGCCGCCCCAGCATTCTGAGCCGGCGATGAACCGTGCGTACAGGACGAGGAGGGCAAAGGATAACCAGTAGGATATACCCGTTGCGAACGGGGCGCCGAGCAGGCCCATCTTGAAGGTGTAGCAGAAGAGGTAGTTCAAGAAGGCGTTGAAGGGGGAGGTGATGAGGAGGACGTAGGTTCCCGGCCGCATGATTCCTATGAGTCGATCTTAGCGCGAACTTAGCAGAGAGAGAGAGGGAAGAGGAATACCTTGAGCCTGGAGATACTTCTTCATAACCTCGAAATAGATATACCCCAAACCGCCAGGGATCAAACACGTGAGAAACCGTGCACTGTCTCTCGAGAGAACCGTATCCTGCCCCAAGAAAAGAAAAACGTGCTCTGAACAGGCCCACAGAACAGCAACGGGGATATAGAAAAGGCCGAGCACAAAGAAGCCTCGCTGCAGCAGGATTCCCAGATCATGCTTGTTCGCGCTCCCCGTGAAGGAAGACGAGGCCAGCGTATCTAATGCGGTCGTGCCTCCCAGCGCAATCATCCACGCCGTGATCATGGCAAACATGAGGGAGAAGGCCGAGGTAGCGAGGTGCTCCGGCGAAAGGCGTCCGACAATCAGCACGGAGGAGGTCTGTAGGCTGTTTTGGAGTGTATAGGCTAGGATGACGGGAATTGAGTCCTTGAGCAGCTGCCAGAATTCTGCCATGACAAGGCACCGGTTTGAGGCATCATTCTCGCCAGCAACGGTTGTTTCGCCGTTCCGGTGCCCTGCGCTGTCAATGGCTGTTGGCTTTGGGAGGAGAGAAGTATACTCGGTTGGATTGTCTCGCTCTGTGAAGGAGCTACTCCTGCGAATTGGATTAAAAGTGTCGGTCATTTTGTCGACGATGACAGAAGGTCATGTATAGGACGCATAGGACAACAACAGAAAATAACTATATATCACATATACACCATTAGGTCTAAGCGAGAAGCTACCCTGTGGGTTGGCAGCAAGCGTCTTCCGGAGTAGATCGAGGGCCTAATCACCGGTGGTATGTAATCTTAACCCAGTGAATCAGCGTTAGATCAGATTCCTATCGTCAGTCTCAAATTTTCATTACAGTCGCTTCATAGTCTCGCCATGCTAAGCACTCACGAAAGCGATCTATACAACTCAACGACTGGTGGATCATACCAACCGGCTGAAGGAGCAGAGCCAAGCATTGAGTCGACAACTGAAGCGCCTAGAACTTCCTCTGACCTGCATGACCCGCACAGTATGGATAGAAGACAGTCCCATGCATGAAAACCAGCCTGTAGACCACTGCATCAGGGATCCGATCACGGAGCCCTTATCTATGCTGGCCCCATGTAATGCAGATAGTCGTGGAGACAACACTTCGAGTATAATGAACAGTCTGCCTCTCCAAATATTGACCAAAATAGGAAGGTGATCAGTTAACTCAGGAAAAGAAAAGAACCAAGGAAATGGTCGACTAGTGAAGTCCTCGTCAGTATGTCGCCACCTCCCCCCGGATTGATAACGAGCCCTGATAGTGCTCAGGGTCTGGACGTCGAAGTATACTATTTTCGACTGCAAGGCATTCCTATGTAATTTGAATAGATGCATCTGGACAGGAAATAGCATGTATTGGCTTTTTGAGGAGAAATATATGTTTTTAGGCTTATATGTTCCTAATCAAGCATTCTGTATACAACTCGAAAATATGACAGCATCCAATTTCTGATAAACCAAATGCAATGACTGTCATCAATCAATATCTTTTGTCGTCATCTGCAACAGATAACTGGCAAGAAACTGTCTGGTTGTTTGTGGACTAAGACGCCACTCATCCGGGGTTGTTGCAGGCAGTGGGCTAGTAGAGTCCATCGACATATCAAGAAACGCAAGGCATGTTGCGCCACTAAGACTTTAAGACCCTTTTGAAGTGATACATATCCGACGAGCCCTGATATGCTTATCACTTACACAGTCTTAGTCAAGCTTTAGACTTGCCAGTTGATCGCCGGAAAAGTGTCCCAAGAAAACAGGCGCAGATAAGGAAGTTATCTTTGATATCAAGTCAACTGTTGATTTGACAATGGCTTGGACGAACTATACTCCTGTAAGATCAGGTAATTTGGCCTTATGGCTCTTTTATTCCATGTTGTGGATGTAGATAGACCTTTTATACCTTGGAGTGCCGAGCACTCTCATGAGAGAACTACCTATACATCCATCAACAAGACTCTCGTTTTGAGATCGAATGCTCCCACGTAGACGATGGAAAAGGAACTGAGCAAAGCTGATCTAGGGGATCCGCAGAGAATCACCGCCATTGATGAGAAGCAGTCCGTTCCAATTGAGCTGGGAGTCGTCGGGGAGACTACCCTAGAGCAAAATGGAATAAAGATACATCCTCAACCGACTTCAGATCCCTTAGATCCGCTGAACTGGTCAAGACTTGAGAAGCATACCATCTTGGGGATCGTCATGTTCAAGTCAGTCCTCACATAGCTCAATGTATCAGTCAGCCATTGCTAATGTTTGTTTGAAGATATTTCCTATTCACTTACATCACAACGACAACGGTCCCTTCATTCCCTGAGCTCCAGTCTCAGTTCAGTATCAGCTACTCAGAGGTCAACTGGACCGTCGCGATTCCTGCCCTGGGACTTTCAGTCGGTCCCCTCTTTTGGACTTCGTTCAGCGACATATACGGCCGTCGGGTCATTTTCATTACCGGAACGGTCATCGCTCTCGTGTCGACAATTGGGGTAGCGGTGGCAAACAATTATAGCGGATACATGGCTGCTCGATTCTTCCAGGGATTCGGGGTTAGTCCAGCGGCAACAGTTGGAATGGCGGTTGGTAGGTACCTCTGCATAGTCTTGATAACAGTGACGGAGGCACTGACTCATGTCTAAAGTCAATGATCTTTTCTTTGACTATGAACGCGGACAGAAACTTGGCCTGTGGGTACTGGCGATTGACTCTGGACTCTTGCTAGGGCCAACGTGTGAGTGATTCAAGTATCTCTCCCCAACGGCAGATGCTAAGGTTTCCCAGTCGGTGGCTTTTTGAATTTAGTGAGCGCAGCATGGATTAACTGGTTCAACGCCATCCTATTCGCCGCACTGCTGGTTCTCGAACTCTTCCTCATGCCCGAAACCCTATATCCGCGGACGACTATGCTACAGCGCATGCCGCGGGAAGGCCTTAAACCTCCGACCTCTTCAGACATTGAACAGAGCCCAGCTGATGAGAAGACTGTGAGCATGTCAGCAGCAGCCGGGCCTGTCATTCCAAGAACAAGAGAACTCGGCTTGTTCAATGTCAGACCCGTTCCCGGCATGCGGCATCCCAAACCATGGGACTCCGTCGTTCGCTTTGTCCTCACTTTCCGATTTCCCGTCGTCGTTGTCGGCGTTATCGGATACTGTTTCTTGTGGTATTGGTGGATTCTGTCGGTCATCACGATGGTACCTACTGCGTACGCGTCGTACGCCCCCTTGATTCAAGGACTGCTGTTCCTTGGGCTGTTTCTGGGGACAGTGACCTCGGAGATATGTTGCTCAGGTAGACTGAGTGACTATATAGTTGGGAGATTGGCGAAGAGGAATGGCAGCGTGCGCGTCGCGGAGATGCGGTTGTGGCTGGCCTATCCTGCTATCGCCATCACGGCAGGTGAGTTGATTGTTCGGTTAGCTTGCACAAACGGAGGCTAACCCAGATGTCAGTTGGACTTGTTGTCTGGGGTGTCAGTATTGACAAGAACTACCATTGGATGGTAGGTCAAGTCGCGTTCTTCCTATGTAAGTTTGTCCAGCTGATGGAGTGAGGGATCCCTACTGACAGTCCTCAGTCGCAGCTGGAATCCAGATGGGAAATACCGTCACAAGCAGCTATATCATCGATAGCTATCCCCTCCAGTCAACTGCTGTGATCAACTTCTATGCCGTCTTCCTCAACTTGAGCGCCTTCATCAACCCAGTATGTTCCTTTGAGTAACTGAGTGTTGATTGCTGGGTGGTCGCTGACTGACACCTCCAGTTCTTCATTGCGCAATGGCAGGCCACGGCAGGATACACATGGACGTTTACCACGCAGGCTTTGATTGTCGCGGTTGCTGGAACGGCTGTGTTTGCATTATTGCACTGGTTTGGGGCGTCGATGCGGAAGAAGTCGCCAGTGCCATCATGGGTGAATCCTGAGTTTGACTCAGGGAGTTGATCTGTGTAATTAGATGCCATTGCCAGGAGTCTTACCATGTATTTTTGAGAGAAGATAAACCATGAGCTAGTCTTTCATTCCACTATATTGAGCCCCTAACTACTGTAGATAATCTTGTCTTCCACTGCCTTGCATGGGCTTCGTTTTCAGTACTTAGGGAATTTACATGACCCGTAATCATACAAAATTTGTAGACGTAAGCTCTAGACTGCTGTGTGTAGCTATATTGATAAAGGACTTAGACCGTTTTGTGTAACCATCATCGTGTCCTAATTGCTTCAGACCACTGTCTCTGCATCATGGCCAAGCTGTTTGATTCTCGTCATTCACTTCTTTCAATGCCGCATGACTTGTTTGTCTCTGGATCTACGAGATATCCAATAATAGGTAGCTGTGCATCACTACCAAGCTTTATTCAAACCCCCCATTCTGGTCTATAAGTTCACTCAACTCCCAGGCTAAATCAACAATTCTCACCTTCTTCTCGCCATCTCCCTCTTTCTTCCTTCTTTAAGTCTTCCTTCAGTATGAACGCTCTCAGGACTAGCAACCACGGCCCTGGCATATCCATAATCAACCTACCTCGGAAGACTTATGTATAGCCCTTCTGACAAGGATACGTCGACCACCAAGCCTTTCGCAGGATCTACTTGCTGAGCAGGGTCGAGAGCACCAAAGCCCATTCGTTCCTGGCAACAACCAGGAATAGAGCGAACCGAGTTATCCTCGCGTAATGAATTGGTAAGTGTTCAAGCACTTTACTCTGAGATCCTTGCAGCTACTCATATGCTGACTCTTGTGTCTCCCGCAGGCGCTCGTCATATGCGGGACTTCACAGGCTGAGACGAACGACAACCAACGTGCCGCTAGGTACGACGTCCTGGTACGAGGAAATCCTTGATCCCACTCCATCGGCGAGGAATAAAGGATCCCACGGGAAACGGCATCCAAGACAGACAGTTACGGCGAACAACGATCCCCTGCGAATAATTTCCTTCACACCAGCATCTTCTGCAGGTATCCAGAATCATACATCCGCCGCATTACATTATCATATATTCGACGTCATAAGAAAGAAAGAGTCTTTGTAATGACATTATCACAGCAAGCAATTCTTGAACCCACGCTCCAGCATACATACTGTCAGGTCACAGGCATATGTGGATGCGGAATCCTCAAGTCAACATCCTACCTGTCAGGGGCATTCCTTCTCTTCGCCAATACACGGGCAGTTGGTCGTTAGCGGTGCATCACAGAACAGTGACATTGTTCTTACCATCACAATCATAATTGCAGTATCCAGAGAACTGCTGAGCTGCCAACTGCCGCTACCTGGGCTTCCCTGCAGAGCAACAGCTGGATCTGCCTAATGGTAACTCATTGACAAAGTAGTCCCGGACTCAGACTGATCCCATGCCCATCACACGGCCTGGAATGACTATCTTTTTTTCTCACCCGCCGTTGGACGTCTAAATCTACCTGGCATCAGCTAGATGACGGGCTTGAGCCACAGCCAATCCCTGTCGAGGATCTGGCCGACATGCGTGATGCCATACATAGAATCCAAGCTCATGGACTATAGATGGTCCTTGTAAAGATTCTCTACTCGGATTGCCCTTATTTCGAAGTGCAGCTGTCCAACAATACCTTAGTCACAGCTCGAATCATCCTTTTCGCCGTCAAGTAGCGGCCTTACGTGCCATGGGAGTATCCGCGGGCGGCTGAGCAGATTTCTGCATTCGAACCATTGTTTTTACCCTCCCACTAATAGGGATATGTACGAAAGCATGTCGGGTAGTCCTCCTAACACGTCAAGTGCCGTTACCTTCAACGAAAAACATCAGGAAGCATTCAGCACGGCTCAGAGCCATTATGGAAATATCCAGAAACTCACCTTCCTACACCCGCTGACTCGATGCTCAAAACATGTGCAAGGTAGATTCTAAACTACTCATGAATGCTTATCCACTTCCACGGCAAATGACGACGGCTTGGATGCCCTAGCAAGGAGTATGATCTTCTCATCAATGGACATTGGACAACGGGTTCCCAGCGGCCCATACTTGGGTCTTATAGGTGGACGATGGTGATGGGTAGCAGAAATAGTGTGAGGGACGACGCCCTCAACCCCTATCAAGGCGCCACAGACATCCTCACTTATCTGAAAAGCGTCTTTGAATATCTCAATAGAGAGCGAGTAGCCAAGCAGCGTTAGTTTTACAACACGTTATTCATGAAGCTGTCCTTCGAGTGGAAAAACAACACATTTCATAATCCTCGCCCTGGGCTTCTAAGGGCATAATCAGGTTATAATCGTTACTTTCTTGTCCAGCTAGTTGGGATCATCTCTTAGGACCCCTCACAGAGACCAATCGATCACTATCAGAACACCAGGGGGACCATAATTGCGGATGGTACATTCAAGCGACCAAAAAGCAGCCCATTAGGCAACTCATCACTGCAACACCCCCACCCCCTCCCCCGGTTCCATTTCGAAAGCCATACATGTATCTATCCTCATTGGGTGTCGACGGCGGTACTTACAGGTATCAGACACAATCCATTCGCAAGCATTCCAAAGGATCAGTGGCGTTCGATCGTGTTCGAAAATGAGTCAGATAAGCACATATGTGACCCACGCAACACAGGATTTGACAAGTCCTTTCACCTGGTTGCGCATAAAAAGAACGCGCGCACAGCAGTAAGTCGGATGAGAAGAGAACTTATGCTATTACAGCAGGGCCTCAAGCAAGGATGCTCATCTCAGACATGAGGAAGATATGTGTTTCCTAAACAGGCTCCTCCTACTCCCGCGGCTTGAAGCGCTCTTTTCCAAGTGGAAGCTCATCCACAAATAAAACTACTCCATATGCAGATATACAGGAGACTAAGATGAGTGGCATGCTATCGATGCGGAGAATCCAGTCATCTATAGGGGTGAGATGTCTCGTCACTGGTCCGGATGCCAGCGGAAGTTTCACCGTGAATATTGTCATGGATGAGAGCAAATTTACCCTGACTAGCACTTCTGCATTACCTGCGATGCCATCGATGCTCAGTGCCTTTTCTTTCAGAAGGTGCCTGCCAAATTTGCGTGACACCAGCGACAGGGCTCACAACCACAGGCTAGCCGAGACCTTACGTCTAGACGCACTCGCGAAACAGGTGACCCATTCGGAAGCCTCTCGCAGGCGAGCTCCACCTGCAAGTTCTGCATCCTCATCGGATTAGACGGCGCAAGACTTAGATTCCATACATCTCGGTTTATCTTTACGTAGCCAAGCATCTGGGGTTTACTCCTCTCGCTCAATGAAGTGGGTTATACTGAGAAGCTCGTACATCTTAGGTTGTCAATAGTCAAGCAGCATTAAATCTGCATTCAATAATGAATCATCTATATGGTATAAAGAAGCAGAAGAAAGCATTTAAAGCATTCCTATTGCAATCAAGGGGAATCTCAGCCTTCAAAGCGCCCTCCGAAGCCCAAAGCTCTTGTAATTCAGGTAAACGCCGATTATGCTTCCATGAAAATACATCCGCGAGGGCAGATGGACGGAAAAGGTAAGAGGAATCAACAAAAAAGTCATGAATTAGAACGGATAGGAGTCATTCAAATGACCCTAACCATGCTCGACGGAAGCCGTTATCAGTCGCTGTGGCGGCGGCCCTTGTAGGTGGACGCTTAATGAGAACGATTGGAAGAATGACCAATTAAAGAGTAAAAGTAATGCCACATATCGAATCTCACTAGCCACTAGTAGTCGGTCCCTCTCCGTATGTGCAGCAGCCCGGTTGGAAAATCAGAGATGACCATATAACTTCAACCGATAGAAGCAGGTAAAGTTTGCCCCCCAATTTGAATTGACGCGAAAAGCGACTCGGTCTACACGGATGTCGGGCTGGTCGATGATCGCATCCAGACTGAACTCCTGGACGTGGTGTTGCCCGTGGATATCATACTTCCACTTCCCTACACGGTAGAATGTCGGGCCCAGAGTAGTAGTGTTCCAATAAGCACTCTCTGGTTCATTGTGGTATGCGGGACGAAGATAGCCCATGATATAGTCGTGCAGTGAGAAGCGCTCTGACAGCATCGGAGACTGGTACTCCGTTTCGAGAACTCTGGACTCAAAAGAAAGGAGCCAGTTTAGGTAGGATTTGTACCAGCCGGCAGATCCTGCTTCCGTCGGAAGATCACCAGACGTGCTTTTGTTGATCGTGTATTGAACCCAAAGCTCCATGTCCTTGGGTGCGGCTCCTGGATTAAGGGTAGCATGTTTGGGAATATGCTCGACGACCACCTCCTCCGGTACAATGGGCCGGCTCAAGTGAAGAGCCAGCTGCGACACACCGTTTCGTGGAGCGCTACACCAGCAATCGCCCACACTGTCCCAGGGCAACAAGGCCGTAAGAGGTGGGTTCGGGTTTGAACGCGGATCTGTGTCCCAATCACGTACCCGGTCCTGCAACCACTTAGGCAGCCTGGATTTCTTCTCTCCATAGGTTGGACTTGTCATGCGCGGATCTACCAATACGCCGGTCCCTATACTGAGAAAATTGGGCTTCTTAGGCACTTTGACCGGCTCAATGATAGTGGTTGGGCCAGCGACGTTTTTGACCTCAGATTTGACGACGCTCAATTCCTGAGAGATAGAAGAGACTTGCGCTCCTAATCTCATCACTTGGTTATTGAGACTATTCAGCGCCTCTATGCCAGAAGTGTTCAAGGGAATTGAGGGCGCGGGATTGCGAAAGGGAAAGAGCGAGGCGATGTCGTGTGGTATGCTAGCAATCCTGTCGCTGAGCGAATAAATTGTGAAAAGAGAGATGGCGGCCAGAAGTATAGCACCAGCTATTCGAAGAATTTGTGTCCATGGAAGAGAAACTGATACTCTAGGGATGAAAGAAGTGGCTGGTGTTGGTCGAGCGTGGTCTGTGAACGATTGGTCTGATGGCAGCGTGGTAGAATTATTGAACGACTGTTCTTTCGTAAAAAGATTTGGAATGATAGTCCGCGCGGGTGCCGAAGACACTTCCACTTGTGGTAAAGGCTCCTTTTGAGGCTCCGGAGGCTGATCCGGCTCTGTTTGATGGTCTGACTGTGCCTCAGATTCCACTGTCGGTTCTCGAGGTGCTTTCGAGACAGAAAGACGCGAATCGGGTTCGTCTTCCTCTACAATGGTCTCGTTTGCGAAAGCAAGCCCAGAAAAGCGACGAGGTGGTGCAGTAATATTCTTCCCGACTGGCTCTTTGCGATAGCGAGTGGAACGTGTCCGTTGCAGGTCATCATCATGGATATCGCGTTCTACCATCCACGAAATGACCGATTCGTTGTCATCTATGCCTGCATTTTGCGACATTTCTAGAGACACGTCGTTGCGAGTGGGGGAGCCAATGCGCTGCATTGGGGAAGGGTACAGCTGTTCTATTGGCAGAGAGGGATATTTGGGGTCTGTAAGGATCTGAGAGGCCGGGCTGGACATAGTAGAAAGTGTGTGCGGGATAGGAGGAGTTGGGGTTGCAGTAGATCTCTCTGCTTGCGTTTCATTTTCTCCGTTGCGCTGATTCGGGGAAACAGTCGCGTCGCGTAACGCATCAAGCAATTGCACCTGATCGGGAGTCGGTTCTCGCTTGGTTCGCCGGCGGATAGGCGATGCGTTAGCAACCGATGACCGTCTCCGTGAGCGTGTGTTCATATGAGGTCGATCATCTGTGTCACTGGATTCATCTGTGTCATTCTGTCGATCTCGCTTCTGGGCGTCTCTGATGGTCTGATCAATTGATTCGGCCACTTCGGCCAAACCCATCTTCTTCGCGACTAGTCGACGAGGAAGGACAGGTGCTGCCGGTGAGCCATAGGCCCAGCTTGGCTGAGTAGGCACATCTGGCAGCGGCTGGTTACTGACACTTGGACTCGAATGGCCAAAAATGATCGAGGCCTCGGAGCGAGCAGTAGCTCCGGCTCGCCTGGTGCCCGCGCGCTTAGGCGGCATCTATTCCAGGCGGATTTGTACAGCCGTATATTGTTGTCTACGCAAGGTCAGTTGGAACAACAGACAACGGTGTCTCAGGGTGGATCCGTCAAAGATAGACACAGTTGCGAGACTCCAACACAGCAGGCGCAGATAAACAGGGGTCTGACGAAGAGCTCAGTGTCAAGACTTACAATTTCGTAAACAGCGCTCGCTATCTGGAGCTGGTCTGCATGAGTCGAAGCCGACACTTCTCAAGCGGCGACCTCAGGCAGAGAATCGTTCTCGTGTCGTTCAAGGCGCTTTAGAACAAAGGCACAAAAACCAACAAGAGTTGATGATAAATTCTAAAGATGTAATAACAGCTTCCACATACCATAGAATCAGTGAATGGTTTCTGCGCGATCTCCAGGTTGTTGCAGTGGTGGTCTGTTGGTGAGACCAAAGTGAGGCCAAGATGGCGGACTAAAAGACAGGCGCAACAGTGATATCGCCGCATCCAATGCGGGATACTTTCCACTTTATCTTTGGGAAGAACAAGACAAAGACAGCATCAAGACAAAAGCGCCCCAGGGAATAAAGCGACTCAGTAAAGCCTTGTGAATGGCGGTTGGCGTAGTCAAGAATAGCCTCCGCGTAAATGAAGGAGTTTGGCGCGCCGAAGCTGTCGAAACGCGGGTGTTTTTCGCGGTGGCTGGAATGAAGACCCACAGAGCTTAAACCTCAGAACCGAGAATAGAGGATATTCTCGATAGATTCGCTGTTAGATCTTTCAATACCACGCGTTAGAGGTTATATTGCTCCCTCGATGGTTGCTCGTATTGTGGAAAGGGAGATGTCAAGTATTTGGTCCAGTACCCGTTCCATTATGGAGCCAAATCGGGAAAGGCTTGGCAACCGCAGCAACAGAGCGAAGTCAAGGAAGAGCACAAAGAGAGATGAGGATTACGAAGATGAAAGAAATCCACCCTGGGAATATTGAGTGAACTCAATGGCCAATCTATGCTTACGAGAAGACACGGAGAAGCTTGAATTTTTTATAATATCTTTATACTTTGACTGGCATCCAAGTCCCCTTATCTCATGCATCACTCTTGTTCGATTCCCCGAGCAATGTTTCATCTTGACTTGAACACTTCAGCTTTAAATATTTCTTCTTTGTTCTATTTTGAGGAAGCCTGCTATGTCACTTCATGTCCGGATTGGCACACCCTTGGCCCCACATACAGTTGCCATTTCGCCTTTATATTGGTTCCAAGATACGTGCTAGTATACAAGTGTGAAGAATGGTGTTATAGCATAAGGCGCAAATCATGGTCATGATTTGCGACGGGTCAACTTGAGAAAAGCAGCGTTGAATATAGGATGACAATGCAAGCCGTTAAGAATCATGTAGACTTAAGAAAGAGCCGGTAGAATTGTTCAACAAGTCCAGGCTGCCACGGTACCGTCCTTGCGGCCTTCAAGCAAGTATCCGTCCTTGAGCCGTACTCGCTCGACTGTCGCAGGCGCCGGGCCGGACTCATCTGCACCAACCCCGGCTCCACAGTCCCAGTGGTGTCCATCGGCCTTATCATATACTTTGACAACGTTCTCGCCGGCCGCAGCGACTATGCGCTTTGTGTCGAACATCATGCTGGTGATTGGTTTGTCGTAGGCGTACGCATCGAAGATGGAGCCCATGCGTAGATCCCATATCTGCAATAGTGTCAGAAGTCAGAAGAAGAGATATTCCGAAGGAAGACTTACTCTAATGCTGCGGTCCTGACTTCCCGTCACCAAGTGCACTTCGTCAAATTGCAAGCACGTGATTGGCCCAGTATGGCCCACGAGGCTACGATGAACCTGACCGCTGCGAAGATCCCATAGGCGGACCATACCGTCGGCAGTACCGCAAGCGAGCGCAGCATCAAAACACTGGAGTGCGCCGACGAAATCCGCAGATGCGTCCGGGAGGCGTCCCGAAGGGCGCCATTGCGTGTCAGCCCCGAGGGTTGACGCCTGAGCTGCGGCCCATAAGACATCTAATGTCTGAACGCAACGTCCTTTGACAAGATCCCACTGCCGTAAAGTCTTATCCGCGGAGCCGGAAATCAGCGTGTTCCCTCGGAAATGGAGCGCTGTCACTTCATCAACGTGGGCGTCGAGTGAAAACACATAGCAGTCCTCCAGAGTAGTTGCAGAAAACAATGAGAAAGCATCTGACGCATTGTCGTCCTCCCCTTCACCCTCTTCATGTTTGTTGAGACGGTTGTCACGGGTCACAGTCCGAGCACGACTCAAGTCCCAGAGTTTGACCGAAGCGTCCATAGATCCTGTAGCGACAATGTTGTCTTCGACCTGCAAACACCGAACAGAGGCATTATGGCCCTCCAGGAACCCCGTACAGCGGCCAATATTAAGGTCCCAAACTCTGACGGTGTCATCCAGAGCGGCGCTCACCATCGTACCAAACGGGTAATCGAAGTCAATAGCTGTCACCATGTCAGTATGGGCTTGCATTTCCTTGATCTGTGATCCGGGCGCGAAGTGTTCGTGTAGGATAGGCATCGAGCGTTTCCCTAGCTGTTGTTAGTGACGGATGGTAGAGTAACGAGCTTTGGAAAACAGTACTTATAGAGCGCTGTTTCAGACTCCGCGGCGAATGCGAAGGTAGTTTCTGATAGATCGATTCTGACATGAAAGACGCATCCATAGCCGCGTCTTCCGAAACGACCGAGTCATCGTTCACTGCCGAAGATTTCGGTGTTACAGCTGTTACAGGAGTCTTCGGGGCTTCCTCTTGGATATCCTCAAGCTTGTTGTCGATTTCGGTCACTGTCAGGTGTCAGAAAGAGTTCCATAAAGCCATCGGATTCGCCGTAACCCACACTCATGTTCAAGCTCCGCCTCTTCCATCTCTAACCCTGCCAACCGATCCAGCACGATTTTCCTCATGTTGTGCAGGTTAGCGATTTTGTTGTCAATCTCGTGGATCTCCGAGCTGCACATATTCTTGCGCACACCCATAAGGTTCAGCCGCCGGCTCAACAGGTCCCGTTCCTTCTTCAAGTCCGTCGGCGCGGACGGAAGAGCCGCAGTCGCCTCGCCATCCTTCAGCAGCTTCTTCCCTTTCGAACTGCGCCGTCGGTGGGCTTTTCTGAATTCATGGTCGTCTTGGGTGGCCTTGAAGCCCTCGAACAGAGAGTAGGAGCTGGAGTCTTCGGGAATGTTTGCGAGGAGCTCGTCGGGAAGAGAAGAGAGGGCGCGCGATTGAATTTCAGATGTTGAGAGCTTGGAACGAACGAGGTCGGTCGGAGTGGTTTGTGTCAGGGAAAAAACCTTGCGCTGAGTTGTCGGCCGCCGTAACTCACGATGTATGTCGGACATGGCAGTGTGGTAATGCCCGCCATTGCTTGACTCGGTGATCGGTCCCATCAAATGCCCTGCAGTCGATGTGACTTTTCTCCCGAAGGCTTCGATATGCCGGGTCTGTACATATTGAAGCAATATCAGCATACAGTACTGACCATGCCCGTACCACGAAAGTCATAGTCGAACGCGGACAACGAAGGGAGCAAGGAAAAGAATAGAAGCGCACCGTTAAGCCGATCCCTAAAAGACCATCCGGCTCGACAATATCTGATAAACCAGAAGGCGACTCATCGCGGCGCTGTGTCGCCATGAGGCTAACCGGAGGGTCTTTTGAGACTGAAAGACCTCAAACACCCATACGGCTTATCCGGACAAAATAGAAGAGTCGAATCGCTTCAAGGGCGACTTCTCGGCACTCGGTCGGCTCGCTGGGGAAGATCAAGAGTTGGTCTGGAGTTGCACGCGATGAATTACCGTGTCTCCGAGCTGCCGTATTATTGTTACCGCCAGCTAGCGAGGGACAGCTGCCTCGATACTCTGCGAGTCCCTTACCTATGTCGATGAGCGAAGGGATGATCAATAATATATTCTGGAATAGAGTCTTTATCCCGGCCTAGATAGTAATACTAGACCCGATTATCGAAAATCCAGCCTCTGGATGCAGAAGAATAGATGTTTCCCAGCTCTTAAGCTGTGACGGAGGAGGCTTAATGTTCCAAAAATACCACATGACCGCAGTGAAATACGGAGATCATAATACCTAGGTAGATGTCTAGGTAGCTAGTAGACTTCTCAGACTTCTACTATCTGTTGAAAGGCAGAAGTAACAAAAGAATGAGGCCGGTCAAAACCTTTGGCTACTCATGCTGTCTTACACAATCTAGAGCGAAGATGACCTCCACGGTCACCGAGGCGGTGCTTTCCTAGTCCGGCGTGGATGTTGTCCTACATAAACTGGATGAAGCTGCCCGACCATCGGCGCCAATTTCTTCCCCTCTTAGCTTAGAATAACCAAAGATTCTAGAAACTGGGGAAGCTTAGAAAAATCCCGACGACCTGAGCTTAACTGAAGCATGGACGCTGCAATTGATCTTTCAGACGCCTCCAAGGCGTTGGATCTGGCCAACATCAGATTTCAGTTGATGTAAGTCTGAATTCTTCCTTGCTTCTGCCCCGCACATACATAACCATCTCCGACCCCGGGTATTTTTTCATGTTCACTGTTCAGATGAATGCGTTCGCTGATTGGAATCTTATAACTTCTCCTCTGTCTCAGTCGTCTAGAGGATACAATCACTTTCCACCTGATCGAGCGCGTTCAATTCCCCCTCAACAAGACCATCTACATCCCTGGCGGGGTCAAGATTCCAGGCGATGAGGTCAGTTTAATGGACTACCTGCTCCGAGAGCAGGAGCGCCTACAGTCCCGCGTTCGTCGCTATGAGTCTCCCGACGAATACCCTTTCTTCCCCGAGGTGCTCGAAAAGCCCATCCTGCAACCCCTCGAGTACCCTAAGATCCTCCACGACAACGACGTGAATGTCAACGAGATCATCAAGAAGCGATATATTGAGAATATCCTTCCCGCGGTATGCGCCCACTTCGAACGCGAGGATCGAGGAGAAGCAAAAGAGAACTACGGGTCTGCGGCGACGTGCGACGTCAGCGTGCTGCAGGCGCTTTCGCGTCGCATTCACTTTGGCAAATTTGTCGCGGAGGCCAAGTTCCAGAAGGACCCTGAGTTGTTTGTCAAGCTGATCAAAGCCAATGATCGGGCCGGAATCGATGCGGCCATTACCGATGCGAAGGTAGAACAGAAGGTGCTGGAGCGATTGGGCCTTAAGGCCAAGACTTACGGGACGGACCCTGCGTTTCCGTCGGAGACAGGGCCGAAGATCAATGTGGATGCGGTGGTTGCCATGTACAAGGTGAGTGCGAGGTTTGACTGCATTGAAAAACGAACATTTCTGATTGTGGAAACAGGAATATGTCATTCCTCTGACCAAGGTGGTGGAAGTCGAGTACCTCATGCAACGGCTGAAAGGCACTCAATGGGAGTGAACGATATAGGTGGCCTCGCCAGTATATATGATGTATTGATGCGAATGATGTATCTTATGCCCTCACGAAAAGAAAAGAAGCTGTAATCTCTGGGTTGAATGATGGATATAGACATGCATGCGTCCGCTAATACTCATACTTTTGTTCTTTCGTCATGAAATCATTGGCTGCAGGTCTGATATGTCTATACAGGAGGTTTTAAGTAATCCGTCACTTCTTTGACTGCAGCTTCCAGTTTCGGGCCGTCGATCAAAATCAGACTTCCCGATGTCTTGATGCCGAGATCCTGAAAAGCTCGTTTCGAGTCTGAGAGGCCCTCGTCGTGCTTGTGTGTATACTCTATCGAGCCAGAGCAGATCGCATGTCGCTCAAGCACCTCATCTTCGGGATGAAAGAAGAACCGCTCGACATTGCTGCCGGACTTCTTCTTCTTCTTCTGCGGCCGGGACTCTTCCATGTCCAGCTTGGATTCAACCTCCTCGTATGTCTTGGAGACAATCAGATAGTGGGAGAAGTTGTACGGCTCCTTGTCTTCAATGGCCCACGCGATCTCCTCCAGAAGCATGCTATACATTGGAGGAACGACTTCGGCAGGCATGTTGATCAAGCGCTCGGTGAGAATCAATCCAATTGGAGGAATGGGTGATTGGGAAAGGAGCTCCGAAAGTGGTGCGAGTGAAGGATTGGACGAGGCTTTGCGTTGGAGGTACGATGTTAAATCCTTGATCACGGGTTTATCCTGAACAAGTAAGCCTAGCTCCTCTCAGTCCTCAAAGAACAAGTTGAGATACCTTGTGCTCCTGCAGGTTCAATACGGTCAAGAAGGCATATGGATCGGATTCATTGCCGTCCACCTTTACTGTCGATCCGAGCAATGGCTGTGCTAGTATCAGATCCGTCAATGCGGACAAGTCGAAGATCTGAGAATCGGCGTCGAATAGTTGTCGGAGGAGATTCTTGAGTCCGTGGAAATCCACAGCGGGCTGCGGATCAAACCATTCGAAATCCACATTCACCATATCCATTTCCTGGTCGACATAAATGTCGTTAGCATGAAATGCGATAGGAGCAGGATGGCATCCATACCTCGTCGGACTCATCGTCCTCCACCGGGCGCCCGGTACCGCCCATCTCGACGTCATTATCTTTGAGCTCTTTTCGCTTCCCCATTCTGAATGTCTCTTGATATCAATGATATCTGTAGGACTGAGATGCGTCTGTCTTGGCAGTCGAAGTTCTCCAGACTCTTCGTCGGCGGTCAATAAAAGACGCTCCGATAGGGCCCCTCGCTAATTTTTTTCGGACCTTGGCTTTATCAGCAGCTTATCGCAAGCACGTGACCTGTATCTTTATCTGGGATCTATAGTGTCATCGCGACAAGAAGCATTTATGAAAACGAGCTGGTGAAGGTCGTCTCTAAGAAGAATCATACCTTGAACTGGAGACAGGGCATGTCATTTGCTTGCAAAATCTAAGATTCTATATTGGAGCTCACATTTTGGCTCGTCACGATGGAATGGCAAGGCGAGCTTTCATTGTACTAGCCTTTCCATTGATGCGAAATGCATGTCTTTTAGGACCGTCTATCATGAAAGTAAACAGACTTATATGTCAGCTTCCACTTCCTCAACAGTAGGAACCTTGTCCAGCGTTACGCCATAGAACCGCGCCACCAGCTGTACACAATCCCAAACAACCTGCACCTCCTCCCTGGAGAGCCCCAACCGCCTCGTCCCCCGAATATGCCAATGCGTCTCAGTCCTGAGATTCTGGCTCATGATCGCCGGCAACACAACCATCTGCGTATCCACATCATCCAGAACCTGCCGATCAGACAGAAACAACCCGTAGGTGATCTCCGTCGACAACCAGGCGAAGTCCTTGTGCGCATTGAACAGGTCCAGCGTGTTGGACGCATTGCGCGCGTACAGCTTGCCGAACCAGTCCATCCCGCGGTCGTGGTTGGCCGCGTCGCATTGCCAGTTCTCCCGCGTGCAGGTGAACTCTTTGTCTTCGTCGCGCTCGACCTTGCTGATGGCTAGGATGGCTTCGATGGGCTTGCAGACGCCGACGATGATGACGGATTTGAGGAGGGCTTCTCGTAGACGCTTGACGAGGGCTTGTCGGGCGCTGGGGACTCATGGCCTGGTTGGTTGATGAGGTGGAGGTAGAGCTGGTCTGCGCGCTCCGGGTCGGAGCTGGCGACGATGGTTGCAATTGCGAGTATGTACCATTTGTCTGCGGGGAGGCTGGTGGATCTGAATCGGGATTCTATTTCTAGGAACAGTTGTTCGTAGCGAGGGTCGACAGATGTCATTGTGATTGCTGTGGGTCAATTAGTGGGTTGAATATCGAGGCTAGCATAGAGAAGGATGATTTAGTCTCTGAGTGGGATGTGGTGAGTATGCAAGTATGCATCGCTGATGCCCACTTACGAACCCCACACCTCAAGTTCAGTCTTCAGATGATGCATCTAAATGCACTCCTACTATGATAGCGCTTTTCACTCAATTTAGTTTGAAATCATGACTGTCTGAGAGGTCTTATAGAATATCCTTGTGTTGTAAGACCATAGACTGCTCGCATGGTAGCCAGGAACGGGCAGTCTGGACGAGCTGTATAGTACGCCATGACACCGTCGACCAACATCACCCATCAGCATTTTCCTAGGACAATGTTTCGAATGGAATTGAATTTCCCTCTTCTCCACACTAGAGAGGTATGATCACATCAACCCAGTCAAACGTGCCTATTCTCCTGTTTCTCAGGATACATCACCAGCCAGCCCCACAAAATATGATCTCAGCGACTCGACCATATGACATCACAACGTTCAGCATCTGGTATAAAGCTCTATGCATCTCTCACCACGACCAACCACGCATACTTCATTCAACTCAAATACAATACTCTAATTAACCTCACGCGACCTCTTACCCTTTTTTCAAATCTTCACCCCTCAAAAGGATATCACCAAAATGCCCACAGGAACCCAGAAGTCCGGTAGCTCATACGCCGGCGGCGGCCAGTCCAGCGTCGGCCAGCCCTCCGTCTACGAGGCTGGCGACCAGCGCAACGAACCCCAGTCTGTCCTTAACGAGCGGGAACGGTACCACGAGGGCCAGAAGGGAAGCCACAGGATCTTGGATTCGAGTATGTCTCTCCCAAACCCCACAGTCAACCAGCTTGGTCTAGGATCAACAGAGCTAATGAAAGTAGAGGATCAACGCTCGATTGCCAATAAGCTCGCTTCTGCGGAGCAGCACCCCAACCGTAACACGCCCTACGACCCTGAGGCAGAGTTGAGCAAGAAAGATCCCACTGCTCCGGTATGTTCCCTTCTCGTCGGCGCCAATAGTGTCTGGATGCTGATGAGTGTAGGCCACATTGCACGGCTTTGAGCCCTCGAAGGGAGCCAAGATCGACAAGGAACTGCAGGATGACGATGAGCAACGGCTGAGAGAGAAGGGTATCAAGAAATAAATAATGGGTCCTTTTGTTTGACCATAATGCAAGGGATATCTGGATATATCCCTCTCGCAAGAGCTATCAATATTTACTTAACGAGGAGCAAATGTAATGTTAGCTTTCATTTCAGAGACGAATCAAATCGGCTGCATATAGGCCGTAATCTGTGCAATCTGTGTACATGCTACATGAAAAGTATGGTCACAAATAATGTACATGCAAGATTAGAAGGGATATATACGATACAAATGGCGGTATAAATGATCATCAACTCATGAGAAGCATGTTATGCTCGAATGTCCAATGGCGAAGCCCGTCAAATGACTCCGTAGGATGCAGGTGGGCAGGAACCCTAGTACGTTCAAAGAAAATGGCGAGGACTGGCCGTGGACTCCCTTGAGAATGGCTTCAAGATCCTCGGGCTGTTCAATCATCGGTAAATTTTGGATCGTCCTCATGTGGTTCGGCGAACACGTTCTGCCAGTAACTCTCGACCTTCTGGCAAACCTCCGTCTTGTTTTTCCATGTCTGGAAGTCAGTCTTGGGATCACAACTGACCCACTTAATCTCCTCCCAGTAATTCTTCTCAGCATCGTAGCCGAAACGACTAACGACGTCTTCCGGTGCAGTCCAGGCACGTCCGTCCGAGCCATCAGCTTTAAGTGTCGGGGTCGTGTCCCACTTCGTTCCAAAGACGTTCTCTGCCGGGTTGAACTTGGGGTAATGCGCATGTATGAAGAACACGCGAGGGGCTTTCGCCACGGAGGGGTCTATGATCCGCCGTTTGTCCTGACTGGTCAAGGCATAGTCTTCCACCGGGTCTGCCTGGGCCATGGCCGAGCCAGAGAGTCCTTGGCCGTCCGGCTTCCAATGACCGAGGGCCTGCACTCTCTCGCTCACAGCATAGAACGGCTCCCCCAGTGCCGTTGCTGCCTGCAGAAACGTCTCCTTGTCCCCTTCCCCTGGAGCTCCTTGCGACAGCAGCCGGAAGTAATGCGACGGCCCGTAATAATTGTAGTAGGCGGCCAATAAGAGCGTTGTCACATGAGCCTCCTTAGACACCAGAAAAACGCCCGTCTCAGACGACTGTCGAGCAGACACCGGTGGGATTGGTTGCCGGGAGAGTTCAAAGTATGCCGGAGATGCAGTCGACACCCAGAAGTCGGGCCAAGTGACCAAGCCGTTGGTCTTGAAGGGTTCCGAGTCAAACAGCTCTTCAGGTTTGTGCAACGGGAAGCAGTCCGCATCCATCCAGATGATCTCCTCGAACGACGAAAATAGAATCGCAAAGACCTTGAGTTGGTAATGCGCGATAGGGTTTCTCCCGACGATTTCTGAAAGGACCACGCACTTTGCACCTAGATCGGGAAGCACGCCCTCACAAATCTTCTTCTCGTATTCGGTTGCATCCTTCATGTATAATTCTACCGGTAAGGTAGATCCTGTACGGCGCAGCATCCGTAACGACGACAGAAACACCGGCAGGTATGAATTCCCCGCAGTCGAAACCAAGCCGCGCGTTCCAGCAGTGTGGGGTGAGCGCAGCTTTTTCGACACCCGGACATCGCGAATATAATTCGCATGCGCTTCTTCCATCGCCTTTCGATCGTCGTCGTTCAGGAGGGTTAAATCCAGTCGCGCATCGGTTGAGGTGGCATTGAAATGGACCGCATGAGCATCGGCCCGGGCAACTGGTGAGGGACAGTTTGGCGCATTCTTTTCTAGGACGGACTTGAGGGCTTTCCAAAAGGCAATCTGACGTTCGGCGAGAGGGACTTCAAATGCGGTGCTAGGGACCACGGATGCTGGTGCTGGGGTCCAGTACAGATAAAAGGTCGAGATCAGAAAAATGGCGCCCGTGGCAAGGAGGAGTGACCTCAATCGACCGAACCGGAATGTCCCCATGGTTGCTGTTCGTCAGTCAGCCGTGTGAAGAGAAGTTCTGACGAACGTAAGCCAACGTTTTCGAGAAGCGTTGCGGACATAGAGTCGTTGAGGTTTGTTTGAGTCTAGGTTGTGTGACAACTGACAACACTGATGGTAAACTACTGACCTGGTCAGAGTAACAGGAACATTTTAGATCTAACAGAGAATTCAGCCAGTATCTGGAGCGTTCAAGGATAGAAAACGGAATGAAAAGCCTCAAGTTGAGGACTTTCTGCAATCGACAATAATATGGTCCATTATCCCCGTCTTGCCCCCTTTTTCAGGTTTAGTGCCGTCCAAACAAAGCAGCCAAGATTTTAGTCAACTGAAGATCGCTTGCTTATTTTATGCACATAACACGTCCATTCTTCTCAACAATTAATGCACTGTAATGCCTGTGTCAAGAATAAAGGACCTCTTCTTCTAATATTAATATTCAGGTCTGATGATATTGCTGGAATTCTTCCGTGGTAACTGCATATATTGAACACATGGTTGTAAAGGGGCGTCGCCGTTAGGAACTAGATGTAGGGGGCTTTAAGTAGCCTGACTGACTGGTACACCTGTGTCTGGATGGTTTTGGCTGTGTGGCCCTCGTCGCAGACCACACGGCCAAACCATCTGGATGTTAATGAGTTGTATTGTTTCCCAGGTCGCCCCTTTTGGTTAGAGCTGAATTCTGCTGCATTATCTGTCTCTCTATCATTAGCTGTTTCGGCCGGCTTCTGCAACAAAGCTAATTGCTTGATGGCTAGTGTACTCTCATTAGGGGGTTTTCATCCTTGCTGTTGGTGCTGTCTAGCTGGCGGGCTTTTCCTTTGCCCTTGACCTTGGTGACTTCGCTTAGGGTCCGTGCAGCCCATGTACTATATAATGAGAGGATAATTGTTCGCGATGTCTTCATGTCATGGTTGTTAAGCTGCTGCAGTTGTGCCTCTAGGTCTGCCAGTGTATTAATGGTAAGGGCCTTCTGGGTGTAATTTGAAGTGTGGGCTGAGTGGCTGTGGAAAAGGAGGATGGTGAATGCATCACCAAACCTGGCTGTCAGCTCCCCTAACCAGGTGTCAATGAGCGTCGATGGACAGAGGATGAGTGTTATCCTATGGGTGTGTGCTGGGTCTTTTTCTGCTTGAACTGATGCATACCACATTGTTGTGATAGCTGTTGTTGTTTTCCTGGTGCTGCAGGCATTGGCAAGGATGCCTGTGGTGACTGGGCTCGCTTCCTATTAGAGCATCCAACAGGCGCTGGACACCTGCTATTTCTTTAGGATCGTCGCGGGTTGGGGGAGATTTGATGGGATCATCAAGACTGGGTTGGCAGGGTCGAGGGCGAGTTCAGTGCAGGCGTCATGGTATGAGGGTGGGTCCGCAGACAGTGTCATGAGCCCTTGTGTGTTGCTAACTGCGGCCTCCTTGGGCTGCTTCTATGCCTGCCTCATTAGCCGTCAGGGTGATCATCTCCGTGGTGGAGCTGGCGGCCGCCAGCTGGTTGAGGAAGACCTGGGTGTTTGAATCTCCCACAGTGGTGTTGGCGGGTTCATGAACAATTAATGCACTGTAATGCCTGTGTCAAGAATAAAGGACCTCTTCTTCTAATATTAATATTCAGGTCTGATAGTATTGCTGGAATTCTTCTGTAAACACAGACTTTGACCCATGCTGTTGAACATTGTTCAAAGAGCTCTTGATAAAGGTGTCGTCAACATCCTCTTTTATCTAAAGACAGTCTTAAATCATTGCACCATCATGTAACGCCTTGAATGCATCAGTATATTGCTTGCCTTTTGAGGTTCTCCAAAGAAACTGTGGCCGGCGATGGCGCAAATCCTTGTCCTGAATTGTGAATGATTCTGACAGGAGTCGCCAGTTGTCAGCACCTTCTCAATTTCGCCCATCCTAGCATTGAATTGGCCCTTTGTCACCGAACTTGGGGTAGTGGCGGTATCGGCATCCGCCCGGGGCTAATCTTCCATCTTAGGGCAAAATCGGATGGCTAGTTCCGGTGCTTTTCTGTCTGCTTGACATCTGGAACTGTTGGACATCTTGGTATTTCCCAGAGGTGACGGTGTGTCTTGTATGATTGGTTCGACTATGTTCCAGTCATCAACATCGTCTGGTCTACCCGGTCCATCAGCGTATCTCCAGGGGCTTGGGGTTGGTCTGGTCAGTGCTATATCCATGGTCTTCGTCGTATTAGTGATAGAGCCTCTTCGGATTGCCCATCAACATTCAACTGCATGAAGGCACCTAAGGTGCCAGCATCCGCTTCGCCGAGGACACCAATGGAACGTGCTAGATTGGGGTTAACCTGTTCAAGCAACCATCCATGAGGAGGCATCTGTATTAGTTCACAGACTGTACCTATCACCTTAACACTCTTGGATGGAGCCTGCCATGGATGGTTGATCGAGGCCCTATCACTACCGGCAGTTGGATGCTGCGCACCAGAAGAGGATAAGTCGACGCCTGAGTCGGAGTCCATAGTTTGTGCTCTCTCTTTGTGTTAGACGCTCGAGTGCCGATATCTCCTGCGCAGGTCCGGGGCCTAGTGCCTGAGTTTCTGCAACGATGTCCATCCTCATCCACATTCGTAGGCCATGATGTCGTCCGAGACATCTTCGGCAGGTTGTGCGCTGCAGCCTGGCTCCACTTGATTGTGGAGGGCAACCTAGGCATCAATGTCTGCCAGAAGAGACTCGTCCAGCGAAACCGGAGGAAGGACCCTCCAACTCAATGTCCGGTGTGTGGGACCGTTCCAACCAGCCCACTTGTAGGCTGCACAGAGTTGCGTTTATAGACGGTGGAAATCTGTTGGATCGAGCTCTTGACTGGCTGATTCCTGTAATAAACCCCAAAAGGGAATGTGGAGCAAAGTCATGGTGTTGGGGACCGCAAGGAATGGCTCAAGCTGCCTCTTTCTCGGCTGACTTAACCTCACGAAGTACTTGGAATTCGAGAGACAGTTGTGGCATGCCATAGCATCCATTACGGCCCACTGTCGCAATATCTTCTGCGATCCAGTATAAGAAGCTGGGCCTTCATCGACATGGCTGATTCCCCAAACATGTTGCGCCGCAACACAGATGACAAAGGTTTAATAGCTGAACACGTCGAGGAAATTCACAAGAGCCCTGTTCACGGCTTTCTTGTCCGCTGGCCAAGCTATGAAGCGTTTTGAAGCATGCGCAGAATCATCATCATTGATAGGGTCGTTGCTCTGTATCTGGGAGTCAGCCATAGTTTCCTCCGCTGGTGAGTCTTCTACTGTTGGCGTCCGACATCTCGCTTTCTTTAGCTTTACTCCTGTCCTCGATGATATATTATCCTCAGACTGGTTGGCTAATATTTCGTTTGTGATGGGGAGCTGAGATCGTCGCTGTATTTTGTCGTTTTCGCGACTGCATTCTTCTTAATATCGCTTAAATATTCCAACCATTGCTTATCGTCTCTCTTAGCGTATCATTTGCACCCTGACCAGCTTCACAGGACGACCAACCTATTTTCTTTCCATCTTTCAGCCAGTTGGCGTGGTAGAATTTCCACAGCGCTCTTGCTAGAAGGAAATGCCCTACAATCCTCTCCGGCGCTGACGGCCAACCACCCAGTTGATGAAGAATAAGTCCCGAGGGACAACTTCCACAAGTAGAGAAATCACTGTGAGACATGCTTGCGGCAGAATGGAGACATTAGGGCAAGATAGTTGTCTGAACATAGTGAGACGAAGAGTGGCGAGCAGGGGGAGACGGTGATATTTATACTTGATAGAAGCAAGCTGAATAGTAAGGCGACCTTTCACCTAGGTCTAGAACATTCAATATCTAAGCAGATTCTTTGAAACTGCTAGGAGGCATTCACTTTAATCAGTGTAGTGAATATATAACGACAAATGCTAGTGAGCACAACTGAGATAAAGGATATTCTATATACTCCCCTGCTGGTCTCCTAAGACTATTAAATGTATGGAGAATGTTCCGTTCTTCTCTATATTACTGACCGGAGGTCCTTGTAAGAGAGTCAATACATGGTGTTTCACTTAGAAGTTGGCTATTATAAGTCTTTTGAGTCTGGCATACAAATCCTGGCGTCCTATTGATCTTATATCCTGCTAATCCTCTCCATCACCCTGTTAAGATTCTCCTGCACCGTAGCCTAGTATAGCTCTCCAGAGGTACAAGTTACAATTGAATGACTGCAAGATAGATGCATGTTACAGCAAGCTTTGACTACCTACACACCTGGCGGATCATAGATCTAATCACTTACTAAGGTTAGTACATGATAATATCACAGCCAGACGCTGACTGTGGCGGGTAGCCCTGACAAGACTTGATATAAGGGTGTGGCTACAGCTTATCTGGCATGGCTGTCTTGGTCCTATTCACAAAAAACGGGGATGTATATCCATGTCATTATGCCCTCTGAACTGCATAAACTTATTATGTTCATCTGTACTCCATATCGTCCGCCACGGGTACTTCGGCATATTATTGATGGATAGCATTTGCCGCTCAGCATGGATCATTCAGGCGTGGATAATCGTGGAGCGAATCAGACGTGCTGGTAAACCAACCAGTCTACACTAGTTCCTTAGTGAGGAATGGAGCAAGGAAAGGAGCGGCCATGGCTCAGTAGTGATCGAAGCTCTAGTCCAAAGAATGTTGCTCTTTCAGGGTCTAGTTATGCGTGACTTTAGTTTCGATTGGATAGAGTCCTGTGTTCGCTGTAGCTCTTAGATGCGCACTGGATGCTATTTATTACCAGATCATCACAGTATGGCCACACTCTTGATGCAGACCATTGGCTGCAGAAGGGCGGCGGATGAATCCGCCGTGGGGAAGTTGGAGTCTTGGAGACGGATTGCTTATCAAGCCTCTGGCCATCACTCCTCCAATTCGTCCGACAGCGTCACCCTTGATTAAATTCCCCAGTTTAATTAACCCATCTCTCTCTTCCTCCTCGATTCCGTGACTACTTGGGGCTTTTCTGCTGACAGCAGAATGAGCGGTCTAAGACCGAATAGATTTAGACCTCAACTTTATCATCATCTTTATTCTCCTTGACGCTGCTGGATTTCTCTCTCCTTCTATTTCCTCACCTCGTTTCCCGTTCGTCCGTTCCTCTCACTTCAACAAGTACAGCAAACACCTCCGAATCCTGCTGCGCCGATCATTCATCTACTGGTTACTGACAGTCCGATAAACTATCAATGGACCCCCGCATTCCGGATCCATCCTGCTGATTCCTTGACGATCACCCTCCTTGCTTCCGCACGGCGGCAACGGTTCCCAACACCGATCTTGGGATCGCGGGCATGGAGCCGGCCTGTCAACCCCCGATTCGCAAATCCCCGTCGACCTCCACCGCTCCTCCCAGGAAACGACGAAAGAGGACCGTTGTGAGCGGTGCAGCGGATGACTGCTTCACATGTGCCCGGGAGGGCTCCGCCTGTGATCGACGGCGGCCATATTGTTCGCAGTGTTTGAACCGTGGACGCGATTGTGCGGGATACAAGACCACGTTAACCTGGGGTGTGGGAGTTGCCAGTCGAGGCAAATTTCGAGGACTGTCTCTTCCAATTACTGGAGCGCAACCAGCTGCGACTGGAGATAGTCGTCGTCGTTCCGGAGGCGAGGAGAATCCGTCGGGGCAGCCGGTCGCATCGCCAACTACATATACCTTTGCCTCTGATGCATCACCGGCCGCTGCCTCCGACAACGTGGAAAGAGCCACATTTCAATCGCAGGGATCGCCGAGTCCGGACACCAATGAGAATGCAAGTTGGATGCGAACGGCCGCGGACCCGCGAGCCTGGCCAACTCCAGCGGCTGATTTCTCGTTTGGAACTCCGCCAGTTGTTAACACTGGTCCTCCTTATACAGAGTCGCTGAGACACTCGACCACAACGAACCCTTCGTTGCAATATATACAGACAGTCCTTGTGGCGGATTATCACTCTTCCCTTCAAACCAACGCTTGGACAGAAAGCTGGCCAAAGTCAGCCACTTCTACATTCGAACAATCGCAGGTGCCACCAGCTTGTAATGCTGCACAACCTCAGGGCCCTCAGGGCCCTCAGGACACTGAAGGACCTGGCAAAAGTTCAATTGAGTCAGAGGCCTCAGGCAATCCTCGACGGATTGCATGCCATTCCCCGTCATTTTCTCAAATGCTTCTTG